TTTTCCCCTTTTTTCAGCAGCATCTGGACTGAAAACATCTACGTCGTCAAAAACAGAGAGATTTGTGCATGTGGAGCGTGGAACCAAACTCAAATACTTGAATATTTTCTACTTTATATTATTGACTTAGAAAGTGCATGATGAAATGTCAAATACTGATTGCGATTTTAATTGCAATTATGCTAACAATAATAAATGCACAAGGTATGTCAGATTGTACAGTCATAATTTCACTTTATTATATTTATTTTAAAAGATGTATTGTCCCTTGAAAATTACAAAAAATAATAATACAAATTATTTTTTTTAAATAACTTGCTCATTAACTTGAGCATAGAAAATACTGAATAAAAAAATATGATTTTTAAACCGGATAATGATATCAAAGTTAATATTACTTCTATATGCCAGTGACTGGAAGTGTTTCTATCGTTTTTCGCTGTAAAAATATATGTAAACATTTTAAATACAATAATTTTTATGTTCAAGCTGATATTTTTACGTTACTTCAAAAGTTAATTTCAAAATGATTTTTATGATTTTTTTCTTTTTAATATTTTGCATGGGGCAATACATCTTTAAAGTATAATTATAGTAAAACTTAGTAGTAAATAATACGTTACCGGTATTAGTATTGCAGTAGGCCTATAATTACTTTTATGACGAATTATGACGTTTATTTTAATGACCTTGTGAAGGGTTGTGGGAGGGGCAGATTTCATAGCTGGCCCTTTGAATAAATATGGCATGTATCTGGATATATGGATGAATGTATGGGACTAATGATATCCCAATACAAATATTTTACTTTTAATGATTTTCGAGGGCACAGTGAGATCAAATTACTATCAGACATTGTTTGCCATCATAATCAGCGGCCGTGGTATATAGAAAACACATAAACCTAATGTGTTATTAAATTTATCTGCCTTATTGTTGTGTTTATAATTTGTGTAATATAGACTCTTATTTTTTAATGTGATGAATATAAAAATAAACAAGCCTCCCTCCAATTAAAGACCACTTTTGTGACGGGGTTTTTTCCATGGTCTTTAGCAGCTTTGGTCTCTAATTTGAATAATAAAGATTTATAGACATTTGTTAATTTATATTGGAGGTGGTATTTAATTGGAGGGTCTTTAATTAGAGGAAGACTGTATAAATTAAATGTATGTATGCCTATATTTACATGTGTAAAAATTAGCAAGAATATTCACATTAGGCCATTGGGCCCGTGGCGTCGGGTACACTGAAATGAGAAATTCCATATTAGTTTAGAATATCGTACTGCGTTATTTTTGTGCTCATGGGCTATTATGTACGTTGGACCAACTGTTCAACGCTCCATCACAAATGAGGTAACCCAAGAAAAAGCAGGAGCAGTGTGGCGGGTTTTAACTAGCACCACTTCAATCTCCTCCTAACACTGCATTAACTCACGAATAACAACCTGCCTGTTATTGATTGTACAGGTCTATGATCTCGTTATGATCTATTTTTCTGTCATTTTTTTAGAAGACACCACAGATACTGGGGTTACAGTGATCACTGAAGTGGAACCTGAAGGAGAGGCAGAACCCACCACAGATTTGGGAACCAGTCTTAAGGCAACCGTCTACCCGATAATGTTGTGCATACTATTTGCACAAATTATTCACATTTAGGGCACTGTGCCTCTGCCAAGTGTTTGCTTTTACGAAAACCAAATCAACTAAACATAATGTCGATTATAGATCCTTCTAGGCCCATCTTCAGACCCATGTTTTAATAGGCCTATTGGTGGATCAATTATGAGCTTCTTACACACTACTGTCGTACAATTAGCATACTTGCTTTGATCATACTACACTAAAATCGTTGGAAATAATAAGTGTCTCTACGCAATCAATAATGTTTTGTTGGGCCTTTGTCCACCCTGTGTAATGAAGAAGTTAGATTTATTGTCATGGTGCGATAATAAACTCACCAAGCCATGTCATCGTTTGTTTTGTTAGTTTTTGGCGATTTTCTTAATATAGGCCTGTGTTAATGTAGCCTACGTTTTACTCTGATTAAAATTGGAGTTCATCCTATATCATATATGTAGTCGTCGTCATCATTATCGTCATCGTCGTGATCAGTTGTACGCCCGAGCGAAAATCTTGCGTAATGAAAATGTTACCTCTGTACCTTGCAGATGCGCGAGAAAAAGTAACCTTATTCTACATTTTTCATTCATGCACAAACATTTTAAAATATAATAGACATAACATCAATTAATAACATTGAAACAAATTTATTCAAAACACCCTATAATGCAAGGTTTTTAAATTACGTTCAAGTACAATATTATTATCTGTCACTGTTCACTTCGATTAGCAGTAGGCCTCAATGTTGTCATGGCAATTTGTGTAATGTTACAGAACAGCAGGCTAATCCAGTGTAAGCTTTAGGAAAGTTCGGAAGTTTCAGCCAATCATCTTCCTTTACGTCATAACATTCCACTGAATCTAGCCAAGACTGGGTGTCCCAACTATAACCTCCAATGATGTGTATACAGTTTTTGAGTACACACCCTGCTGCTTCAGCCCTGGGGGTTGGGAGAATTGTTACAGACATTGTCCACGTATCTGTAGCCGGGTGATATCGATCAACAGCAGGTACGCAATGCAGAAGACCCTGTCTGTCTACACTAGCTCCGCCTGTTAGGTACAAATAACTTCCAACAGGTAGTAACATAGCGAAGAATCGTGGAAAAGCGAGTGGAGTCATCTGCATCCATCGATTGCTTGTACAGTCGAAACGTTCAACTCTACCCGAAACCCTCTGGTTTCCTAAAGAAAACGATAATTATCGAATAGCATAACGATAAATAAAAGGGTCATCAGTGATGGATCCAACATTTTTCAAACGGGGGTGGGGGCACAACAGTTTCAGAATAGGTAAGTGAGTAGCACTTAACGTTGGTTTGCACTGAAATTTTTAAAATTAAGTGCCAAAACGGGTGGGGAGGGGGCACATGCCCCTCCCCTACTGGATCCGCCCCTGGTCATTATTAGTGAATTAAACCAAATTCGTTTAACGTGGTCAAAACATGCCCAAAATGGCTTCATCGTTTTGATCATAAACATAAAATATATAATGTAGTTATATAATATTTAATAACGTGAATGTCGATCGACGCATTACGCGGCACTGACGCAAATGCAGTGGTTTTGTTTGTCACAATTCTACAGAGGTTCGTCAAAATGATGCGCATTACCGTTTCTTATAATAACCCTAGGTTACTATTCTTTGATTGTTTTTGTAGGGTGGGTTACTATTAAGTAGTGGGTTATTATATTACTGAGCTTAATGTACCGTAGGCGATTAAAAAAATTGTTTATTTAATTTTATATATAAACTCAAAAACACATGTCCGCCCCTAATCTTTTTTAACCCACTCCCATCCATTAAGGAAAATTACGAAGTACCGGTAGTAAATTCAAGAAAGGATCATCACGGCGCAATCACATTGTGAAGAATGCCTACCCCTTGGGCTTTTTCTTTCTTTCTTTCTTTTTGGGTCGGCTCGAGATGCCTTCTTTTTGAGATGGGCTTCTTTTGGAGGCTACTTCTGCAAAGTAAAGAGGGGCTTCCTTTCAAAATGAATGCCGTAAATTTGTGGAAATTATTAATATAAAACAGTAAATTGGGTCAAAGTAACAGCAATCTATATGAGTGTATTAACCGGCATTAAATCACAACTACTGTATAAACCAAGTGTGCTTTAAATTTATTCTTTTCTATTAAATTCATGTATAGTTTATGTACTGTCGAAAGTAAGCCCATGCTAAGGCTACTTTTGCAAACTAAAGGAATAAATTGTGTTGATTTTAATGCCATTTTGCCCATAGTTTTGGTGACAATAATAGTAACCCATGGGTTATTATTAGAGTAGTGGGTTATTATAGATTAACTATTATAGGGGTTACTAATAGAGTAATGGGTTATTATTAGAATTTTTACTGTATTTAAATGGTGATGGAATCTTGTGGTACATGATCATATGGTGGTAGCAACGGAAGACGATTGTTTGTTGTAGATGATGATGATGGTGATGATGATTTGTTTATCAACTACACACCCACCTTATCCCCCCATTGCAAACAGCCACTTAGAATGGGACTGCACGGCGATACACCTTCTGGGTGAGCTTAACGCTGCCACCGTTTCCCATTCATTCGATAAAGGGTTGTAACGTTCCACTTCCGCTAACGAAACGTTTTCATTCACTCGACCGCCTGGTTATTTAACAGAATGAAAGTAAACTTGTATTTATCATACAGAAATTAATTGTTCAACTATCCCACACCTGGTGAAAACAAACGCATGTGTTAAATTATTGTAAGGTGCTTAAGTACCGTACGTGGCCCAGCCTGTTAAAAAAAATACTTGATACACCATGGGAAAGAACATTTATGTATCACTGACGGTTTTTCCACTAAGGTGATGGTTAAGGTCGGACTCACCTACAGCATATATTTTCCCATCCAAAACACCCAGTTGGAAGCTTTCACGTGCAAGAATCATATCTGCAATTTGGATCCAAGAGTCTGTGCGAGGATCGTAACGATAGGCTGTTTTCAATGGGGCATCGTGTTTATCGGTTGTCTCTCGACCACCGACCACATACAAAAAGCCTCCGAGATTAACCACTAAAATAAAAAGATTTGACGTTATAATGACAAATCAAAATAACGGCAACAGCAATACTTGATTGGTTGAAACGTTTGGAAACACGAAAACTTGATTGATTGAATAATTAACTACCGTACTGCGCACCTACTACTACCATTATACGGTGCTATCTGCAAACGAGTAAAAAGAGAGTGACTACAGGGACCACTCCCGATGGGGTGAAATAAAAAGAGTGAGATTTCACTCTATTCAGAGTGAATTTTAGTAATTTTGCACTATTCCAAGAATAATATTCACTCATTTAAGAGTGAATTTTCACTCTAGAAAGTGCTTTTCATTGATTGTTTTCTGGTGGTACACATCTAGATGGGTATAAGAGACAGATGTATTATGTGAAACTTGAAATAAACTGAAACTGAAATTGGAGTGGTCCCTGTGGCACTCTTTTCGCTCTTTCACATTTAGAGAGTAACGTTTAAAGGCCTACATTTTGTTACAGACCTAAAAGTTTACATTTTTAAATTTTATATGATTATAAACAGTCATATGGGGGCTGTCGGCGTAATAGGAAATTGCATGCAACTTGCCAGCATGATGATGTTTCGGCTGCGTCATCACTGTCAATGTCTTCCATTCTTCCGTCATTGGGTTAAAATACCTGACCGTCTGACTCACAAGTTCTTTTGCTAGCCTAGGGTGTCCGCCAATTGCCACCACCGTCAGGAGTTTGAGCATCGATCTTGGGGCTGTACGTGGTGACTGCAAAATACTTTGCCTAAGTGGCAGACAATGATAATGTAGCGCTTCTTTTAAAAGTTCCTCGCAAGATGGAAACTTCATGATCTTCGGTTCCACGTGATCAACTAAATCTGGAGGTTTTATCATAGGCAGACGAACATTCTCCAGTAACTTTACCACGTATTCCAAACGCTTCTCCTGATCTACATCAATCCATGAAAGCACTGCCTCAAATACTTGTAGCTCTGTATCGACGATCAGATCGTCGCGTGATATTAATAATAATAGAGAATTAAATGGAAGAAACGTAAATTCTTCACTTCTTGACGCGAATAAAAAATTCGTAGCAATAACTTTGCAAGCAGCCTCTTCAATGTCTGGCATGTCGAAGTTTGACATCAGTGATAGAGTTTTAACACACGTTTCACGGCACAAGTTGTCTTTCAGATAATGGCAGCATATATCAATTGCAAGATCAATCTTCAGATAATTAGCAGCCTTTAAAATCTCTTCCACGTTTCTGAAGCTGACGCGAAGTTGAGTTGTGTAAATAAAATCAAGTAGTACTACCAATGTGTCGTATTCAATGCCATGTAGAGTGTACTCAAACAGCTCCTCTTCTTCAGTATCCTGGGTGAAAACTTTGCGAAAGTAGTAACTGCACGCAGACAACACCAGCTTGTGTGCCCCAATTTTTCTCTTGCCTACTGCTAGTACCACGTCGTTTAGTTGTTTTTCTCGCCATAATTCAGCCATCACATGAAGGACGGCTGATGCCTGGCTACACTCACACGAGTGGTTACTCTTTGCTGCAGAAGACATATCTGGCCACTCATCTTTCCAGTGATGGATACCATTATGATAAAGTCGTGGTCTATGTTTAGCTGCCTGCGAAGTGGTTACAAAACTACGGTGACGAGATTTGATCCCTGGTTTACCCATTGGCTTGTCAAAAGGTCCAGTTAAAGCCAACAATCCTTTCTTCGATGAGTACAGGGGTGATCTTAGTTCTTCCACGTTGTACTTGCATTTTAAATTTCTCACATTTTGATCGTTTGACGAAGACATAGCCTATTACGTTCCAGTTAATGGGCAACTTATTATTAAAAAATTATTGTTTAAAAAAAAAGGTAACAATTATAATAACACTAATAATTCATTTATACATATGGCGTAACTAAATCAGGGCCCACACTGGTCACATCATCAGCGATTTACATTTCATTGTTTATTGTTGGTTGCCATAACAGTTTATTTCCGCTCTCATAAGTGAACACGCGCGTATCGACGCGGTCCAGGGGCCAGGGCGCACCGTTTATACGTAAATCCAGCGTAAAATCTTGCCCAGAACCTTTACATCCATTAAATTTCGGCCCCCGGATTAAAATCCCACGGTGAAATCAACACCCTATGAGTATGGATGATGAAAGATTGTTGTTGTTTTACAAGAAAGAGCTTTTAATGCACACAATATCTTTATTTACTTCGTTGGCAATAAATTAAACTTGATTGTTTTTTTGCAGGCAATTCACTTCAAATAATTGGTGATTTTGTATTATTTTATGTTAATTACCGAATAAATAAATACTGTAAATAGATAGAAATAATATTTAATGATTCAATCAATTTAATCATGGACATGGATAACTGATTCACTTGTTAATCAAGAACAAAATATGGATTTTATGTTAAAGGGGAGTTCTGGAGTAAAACTTTCTCCTAAAATATAATTATTACTTAAATCCTTGAAGTAATCATACGAAAAAAGTCACAAATTTAACGGAAAACATAAAAACTGTACAGTATTAGAAAAAGTTTATTTGTTATTACTAATGAGGGCGTTGTCGCCGTCTGTTCATCTAGCGCTAGCTGCTGCTGCTACCCTGGCAATTAGACGCTCCAAAGAGTATCTCTCTTTGGACCCTCTAAACCAAACCGTCACCAGAAAAGTTGAAGTCTTAAATTCATCATGAGTAACAACTCTTCCAGTTTACCAAAGGATCTATTTGATCGATTAACTTTAGGTGTAGTTCGATCGTTAGGTAATCATTTCAAATACATTCTGAAACTTGCATTGCAATACTAATAATAAATAAGGTAGGCCTAGCGAAACGGTTCAATGCCTGTCTATGTCTAGGCCTAGCTAGGTATGCCTGGAAGTAGTAAGCAGCAAGCCTGCCCTCCCTAGGCCCAGACTCTACTAACTACTAGCCTTGGCCCTCCTCCTAAGCCTCTGTAGGCCAGGCCTAGTAGAATACTATTTAGTTAGGTGAGCCAGGCTATAGGTAGGCCTAGCTAGAGTAGGGCATTCCTACTAGGCCTAACTAGGGGCCTAGCACCCGTCAGACCATAAAAAAAAAAGAACGCGTAGGCTTAGCTTGGGCCTAGCCTAGGCCTAAGACACTTTTTTTCCAGAAAACGTTAAGACTTGAGCGATGATGAGTGAATATTATGATGTACTGGATTTTTTTTTGTTTTGCACCAAATATGAAATATCTATTCTCAATTGTATTATTAATAAAATAACAAACGAAAGGTAGAGTTATGCCGCAGAGGCCTTGTCCTACTAGTGCTACTATTGTATTAATTTGTTTTTACTACAGAGAAGAGACCAGGTGTATGTGACATACAGCTGAAAGACATCTCACCTGCAGAACGACATCTTGTGATATCTTGGGAACAACAAAATTCTTGCATTCTACCAGAAGACCTTAAGCAATTCTATCTAACATCAAATGGATTCCACCTCGAGTGGACCGTTAGATTTGAAGGTAGTCACAAATTTTTCCTTATAATAAGCTTAAAGAAGTTTTCAACCCTCCCCACCCTCAGCAAATTTGGTAAACATAATTACATTTATTCCCAAGCTGGTTCCAGAATTCATCCCCATCATTTCCCTAAATACCCCCAGATATGCCACTTCTTGTTTTTTAGACTCAGGCTGTTCCATCCTGTCTGTAATTTGTGAGAGTACTCATGCTATTGTATGTGTAAATAAGAAAAAATAGTTGAAGCAGAATTTGAAACACTATCAATATCATGTCTTTTCTTTTAGATCAATCTGTTCATTTGGGTCACATGGAAGTCAATCCAATAGAGAAAGTTGTTAAACTTGCAGGTGGAAGAAACACACCAAATGCACCATCATTAGCAGATGTTGATTATGACACAGATGATGAAGTTGAGACAAACAGTGTTGGTATGCAATGCATTCGTGGTGATTATAACAGTAAGAATGTGTACAATCGACACTCATAACGGAGCATTGAGCATACATGCTTGAGTGTCCATCTATCCTTGACTGTACAACGCTGGGGGGAAGGGGGAAGGTTTGACACTCATTCCATACAACAAATATATTTACCTTCACATCATATGCCAGCACATTAATTTTATTCTCCTGGGGGAGAGAGTTAGATATTTAAAAAGTGCCCTACACAAAGAAACAAGTTTAAACCTACAACCATGGTTGAGAGTCCAAGCCACAATCACTGCACCAACCACCATATGCATCAGAACAGAATTTGAATCCAGAACTTCAGGCTTTAAAGGCAAGCACCTTACCACCAATCTATTTTATTTTAACAATAAATTATGTGTAGTGTATTTTTTTTAATTCCAGCTTTGAGTCATGGAAGAAAATTGCCACATTTTGATATTCGGAGTCGTGTGTTTGAGCTTGATCCATGTGAAGGCTATGGAAAAGTATGCTTGGTGTACAACAATGCAAAACAAGGTTTGTCTACTGTAATTATACTCTAAAACAAGGTGTGTGTATTTATGCTTCAGAACAAGGTTTGTGTTGTTTTAAATATATGGAACTTATGAAACAAAATCTGTATAGCTGATCCTGATAGCAACACACTGACGCGAATGTAAGTGGGCGTGGTCGGGTGTCGCTCAAAATATCACCCTTGCCTCCCTCTGGCGCTACCCCTGAGTAAATCAATCAATCAATTCATGTAATTTTTGTTCTTGATTTATCCTCTTATATGTTTTGTAAATTACATGCAGTTTGGCCTTTGGCCATGAAGCGTTATACACCTGATGATGATGAAGTGATATATACAATTCAAATATTTATTAGTTCAAAACAGATTTAGAATTTTTCTTATAGGAACACCAGCTGCAGATTCAGAGATCTGGTTTTTGGATCGTTCTTTCCACTGGCATTTCATAGCTGAGAGTTTCAGCCAATATTTTAGACTGATGATCATGAATCTGGGCTTACCGCTGTGGCACTTTGCTCTAACTGATATTGGGCTACCAAATCACGCTCAGGTTGGTATTTTGTGTGTGAAATCTCAGATTTTAAATTTTTAGTCTGTGTTTCCAATTGGGAGGAGCGGCTCCTGTCTCTTATACACATCTATATATATATATAAAATAGAAGTAATAATTTTTACCACTTACATGCGAGATATATCTTTTTGTATATAACTGTGAGTTTTTATATAATACTGGAATACATTTTCTGTGCAATAAAATTTTAAAATAATGGAAAATGAACCGTTTTGTTGCTCATTTCTATATTTTTGGAATCCATACAAGAAATTGTTAACATTCCCATCAGCCTGAACTTCACAAGAGCAATGGGTACAGTATACATTTGTTCTCAGCTGTGAAAGACCCACAAGGAATATATTCATTAGGTCTTTCAACAACTTTGGACTAATTCTCCAGAAAATTAGACAATTCACACAATTTATGCAATTATTTTCAAATATTGGGAGTCCTTGTCTGGGCTGTGGTACAGGGATTCAGAACCAGACACTTAAATGATAAGTAAATTTTAAGAAATATAATAACAAAGGATAGTTAATGATTTAAGTTTAACTTTATTAAAACATAAAGTGTGTTTTCATTAAAAAATATTACAAAGAAAAAATGGTTTTACTTATTGTTCTGGTTTTGCAGTCTGAGCAAGTATAGTAGTAAAAACCTATAACAGGGTTGTGGTTGTTCATTTCACTTGAAAATTTTTAATTAAATGCAGTCGACCATGAATACCTTTCAAGTCAATGTCTAATGAACATCTTGTAAAGATGGCTACTTGTACCAGTATGAAACGCAAGCTGTTTTGACTGATTTGTACGCATGGAATTTGCAGTTGTCAAACCGGGGAATATTATACAGTACTGTAGTAATATTATTTACTACTAATGTAATCACTGTTAACAAGTGAAGATGAAATTAAGACTATAAAATATTCTTGAATCACATGATCATAGTAGAAATTAATTCTAGCATTAGGATCTTTGGGTTGATTCATTCACGTTTTGCCTGACTATCTCCTCCCTAGTGTCTGTTCTTAACTGACCAACTGGCACATCATTGTGATCAACCAGTATAGTGGTGGACCTGCCGGTCCGCCCCGTAGCTTGACGCCACGATGAGGTCATCGGACCAAAAATATTAATAATAATAATAATAATTAATTAATATTATATATTAATATTAATTTTGATTGCCAATCCCCAATAGTGTGGTCTAAAAGTCATAAAAACTCTCTCCATGAACCCTACCGGGATTTTTTACTTCGGGACCTTGATCAAGGCTCTAGGCAGCACTTTGGTTCAGACCCCACTGTCGCAAAAGTCGGACCCCTTGTTAGCATACTTCTGGAGCCACCGCTGCCACCAACAGTACACATCCATCAATCATTGCTCTGTGACATAATGATCCTGTTACCAGGACAGGAAGCTGGCTAGTCTGGGCCTTGTACAGTACTGTGAATCAGCCTTATGTGTGGTATTGTTATGCGAATTATGAATTAAAAAGGTCTGCACATGCTCAGGATTGTCGTGTTGAAATCTGTGGAGGTTGCTGAATGTTGAATTTGTAATTAAAATCAAGAATATTTGCATTTATGAGCAATACATTTTTATTTTATATAGGCAAAAGTAGTAAGTATATGAATAAATTTAATGCACTAGTTGATAACTTCATTCTAATTTGTTTTGATTTTTTTTTGGCATTTTACATGTGGTTTGACATGGCTTATGTCATGTTCATTGTAATACACTGAACAATAAAATCACAAGAAATTAAAAATCTACTTTTTAGAAATATGTACCTTATATGTTAACTAACAGATGATTTTATTGGTAGATTATTTTGTTTTTAAGTGTGTAAGTATAATTGATTTGCATGTCAAGTGAAATTAGTACCCCTATTTTGCATTTGTTTTACCGTACCGTATAACGCTAGTTGGCACCAAAACAATTAGAATGAAGTTATCAACTAATTAGTGCATTAAACTTATTCATATATTTACTACTTACCTATATAAAATAAAAATGTATTGCTCACAAGTGCAAATAATCTTGATTTAATATACAAATCCAACATTCAGCAACCTCCACAGATTTCAACACATGAGACACTTCTGAGCATGTGCAGACCTTCTAAACTCGCAATTAGCATAACAATACCACACATAAGGCTCATTCACAGTACAAGGCCCAGACCAGCCAGCTTCATATCCTTGGTTTTTCAAGTTGTATTAAGTTGATTATCCAATTTATAATTCAAACATTCATTTCTTCCTTCTGAAAGACAGCAAAAGAAACCAAGATTATTTTATACAACCATTAAAAGCTGATCTTGTGAAATTCACACTCTCAATGGTATTATCTGCAACTTATATTTTTGGGGTCAGAGATTTTGTTGTCAAAGTTCAATTTTAAATCCTTAAAACGTCATTATCACATTATCATCAGATCAGGATGAATCTTTTGAAAATTAAAATATTTTAATAAAATCAAAGAATCAGTTAAGGAACTGTTGTTTCTTTAGTTTAACAGTATAGTAGTAGTTATTAATGCTGTTAGTAAACGAAAACAAAGCTTGACTGATTGAATGATTTACAGTACTTACTTTTTCCTTGGATTACCAACACTAACAGGAGAAAGACCATCAAAATTTGATGAACCAGAAGGTGAAGGGCCAAGGGTTAAACTATCACTGTCATTCTATTAAAGAAATCAACAATTCAGTTCATTAAAACACATTAAAACACTGATAATCACAGTTATGCAAAGGTAAGGGTAAAGGTAGGAAAATAACCAATAAATTGCAGCAACGTTGTGCTGAATTGCGTATGGGCGTGGGCCGTGACTACATAGCCGCCATAAAGAGGCGCTCCTTAGTAGGTTCATGTTCACATCATTCCACAAAAACTAGGGCTAAAATGAACCATAGCATTGGGTAACCCACTACTCTTTTGAAAGATGCAATGAGTTATTTAAAGTGCAAATGAACCACATACATACACTTGACCTCTACAGTATTTTAAATCCTTATCCGAGAAGACTTGGTTCTACCAACTGAACCCTGGGGGAGGAGCGGCTCGAACCAGCGCCTGTGTTAAGGCTGTAGTTAGCGGTTATGGTGTTTGCCTTCCAATTTCAGGCCTACAAGTAAGCAAGTCAAATAATATACAAATACTGACTGCTGATGAGGAGCGGCCCAAGCGAAAACAGGCTACGGTCTCCATATCACCAAGGGGCTAAAGATTTCACCGTTCCACAAATCTAGAGCAGTCAATATTTGTTTTATATACCTCATACATAGATTCTACGAGACCTAAAAAAAGTAATGAAAATATTACACACTAGGTAGGCCAAGGCTTACTTCCTAGGCCTAGGCGATCAAAGGGCCAATCTTTCTCAGTGTCGTAGAGGTCGCGTCTCCTTTACCGCCCAAGGGAAGACAGGCTACGGTCTCCATATCACCAAGGGGCTAAAGATTTCACTGTTCCACAAATCTAGAGCAGTCAATATTTGTTTTATATACCTCATACATAGATTGTATGAGACCTAAAAATGTAATGAAAATATTACACAATAAGTAGGCCAAGGCCTAATACCTAGGCCTAGGCGATCAAAGGGCCAATCTCTCTCAGTGTCGTAGAGGTCGCGTCTCCTTTACCGTTCGTGCGTGTCATAAATAACATAGCAACGTGGCCTAGAATTGTATGTGGTATATAATAAATGTTAAGATTTCTTAGTTAACACAGTAAGATATATAGCATGAGCTTGCGATGAAGCCAAGTGGTCAATTGTAAAAAATTGCTGACTTGCCTGTGAATTCCTATCAGTACTATCATTAGCACTTGAGTCCTTATCTGTGGTTTCAAGCTTGATCTGTCCTTCTAGCCACTGAGCAGTATCAGCATCTTCACTGTTGCTGGCTGCCGCCCGGGAGTTTTCTTCCAGCTCCAGCGTTGATAGACCTTGGTAGGAGATGCCAGAGGTGCTGGTATCTGGCAGCTGATCAAGGAGGTCTGGGAAGTTTTCTGTAAACTGGATCTCTGAACTAGTTTCTTGCTTCACTCTGATGGCGAAAGACAATCATGAATGTACTGGAGTGCTTAGGCAAGGATTTTTTTAAAGCTTGTTTCGCTAACTTATTTTTTTAAAGATCGTCAGAGCAGGGCAGAAAAAAAAAATAAAAATATAATTTTGATTTTTCATTTAGCAAAAATAGTGTTGCCAAAAACATCCAGATGGAGGAGAGGATAAAAATAAAATTTTATTGGTATTGAATGTAAACAGTGTACTAATGGGGTGGTTAAATGCTTTAAATTTATATAACTAGAAGAAATATACATATCGTATTTTTGGAGATTTCAAGGCAGTGACGGGCATAATAAAAAAAAAAAAAAACTCTTTTTTTTTCGTGGTAGCAGGTGCGCTAATCAAGGTATAAAAAAAAAGACTCGCCTTATGAGTGATGTTAGATTACATGAACTACTTCCATCAATATTTGTATAATATACAATTCCACACTTTGCTATTACTTACTGTGAAGTTGATTCAACTGCATCACCTACTGGATTCTGAAAGGTAACGTTGGAAAAAATTTAGGCTTAAAATTAGAAACATCTGTTACAGTACAAACACAAATCATATTATGCACAAGGAAGTACTGTATTCCACTATAAATTACTTATGAGAGAAGAACAGCTCAATGGGTTAAACTCTTTTCAGCTCTTTGGTCCTTGGTTCAATTCCATCGCTATTCTCCTAGTGTTCCTGCAGGAGGGCTGAAATACAAGTTACAGTAGCATCTATCTGTTTAAGCCAAAGGGTCTGTTTGCAATATGGCCTGTGTGTACATTAAACAAGCAGAACACTCCTTGGAATAGAGATGTGATTGTCACCCGGTGTATTGCTAAATTAATCACTAATAGTAGTACCCCACTAGAAATAAGCCTGGAATTTCATGGGATATGCTTGATGTGTTCCATATGAAAGTAAGTCAAATTCAATCCCATCATGGGATAGTTTTGTTGAGGTTGATGTGTACCAGTATTGGTCTATCTTAGATGTAGAAAACCTTAGTATGCAGAATCTCAAGTCAGGAGACTTCCAAGAGGCTGCCAAATGGTTGAGGCCTCATGAAGCTGAGGCAGCCATGTCAATAGTAAGTATAAATCTGAGTATTAACTTAAAATGCAATTTTTACAATATGTACAGTACTTACAATAAGGCTTTGATATTGGTCTTGTAATTTCTTGTTTTTTCTTTCAATGAAATCATGGTAATCTTTGATTCTTGTCTTCCAAAACTGATAGAGTACTTCAGTATTGTCAATGCCAATGTCTTTAAAGACATCAGTTAAAACATCCTGGAAGCTTGTGGTACCGTATGTTGCCTCCCTGTCCACAGCCAGACGTAAACGTTTACAGAATTTCAATAAGTACTCATGAAGGACATCTGTTAGACAGTCTAAGGCTGATTCTTGACTCACTGAGAAGATAAAAATGTTATATGAGGGTTGACAGTATCATATTTACACCACAGTCAGACACACATTTGTTGAATAAATGAAGTTCTGAGAATAAATATAATCACAAGGGAAGCACTGAATGTTTACTTTTCAAAGGATAAATGTGGGCTCATCTAAAAATTATTGCACATACATTGTATAAAAATTGCTACAGTTAAACTTGCCTAAGTCAACTTTTCCTAAGTCAACTTTTTCTAACTCGAATCACTTCTAAGTTGATCTTATTTTACATGCAAAATTGTTGTGTTTTCCAATAATTAATTGATTTGTAAGTCAAATTTTATCCAAGTCAAAAAAAATTTTTAATGCCATTTTGGATTTGACTTAGGCAAGTTCAACTGTACTATTTTATTGATATACCCTCAATAAGAAATTATTAATTCTAGTGAAATATATAAATTTACTTTCAAAGCCTGAATGAGCACATATTGTGGCAACAGCTCTTCTTGACAGTTGCTTAGCAACAGTTTCATCAATCTCAATTGTTCCTTCATTTAACATCAATGGTGATGATCTACAAAAAAAAACAATGATCAATAATACCTTTGTTAATTGTTCATATAATTTCTTATTAATTTTATTATCATCATAGTTATAATATAAGACTGCTGCATCTTCACCATAATCATTCCCAAACTTATCTGTATTATATGTCAATCATCATCCTCATCATCACGATTCATCATCATTACCACTACCATAATCATCTTCATTGGCATCATCATCTTCTTTGTCAATATAAACATTCGCATACAGTACACCTCTAGACAATGTGATGTTACCATATTCTCAACTCACCTGCCAGAATTTTCTGTGTCTGATTTATTGGAGACCTTTATTGATCCTAAAACAGGACTTGGTGAAATGCTGGGTATTCTTCTCTCTAAATCACTCTTCTAAAAAAATTGTAAAAGAATATATGTAATCTGATCATGTATACAGAAAAACAAAACTTGCTTTAATAGTTAATCATAAATATATTAAAATCTTTGAGAGGAGGTGATAGGGAGGGAAATACATCAGAGTAGCTCTAGAGGCTTATATTCTACTGTAGTGATAGTGTCTGAAAGAAATCCCATATTCCTACTACTGTGCTCTTTCTGTGCTCGCAAGTACTCGCATGCCTTGATGTATATGGCACCAGTGATATGATACTCTATTCCAAATACCTCTATTAAATTGGTACCTGGTAGGATGCTGTGATATTAAATGTATTGGTTCCTACTAAATATCTCAACGACATGGGTAAGAAATAATTTTGTAAATCTCTTAGAAACTGCCTTTGGATTGTAAAAGGCACTAGATAATAAACCTGAAGATTTGAATCAATGACCTTAACATTGAAATGCAAGCGTTTTAATCCCAAAACTACAAAAAGCTTCACTTTATTTTACAAAGTGTATATAAAACTGGGTATTTTGCGGGCCCATAACCAGGGAGGTTTGGTGGGTAACCTCCCTTTTTGAAGAGTTTACTACTCATACTAGTATTTTAACGTAACTTTTTTAAAATTAAATAAACACTTAGTAGCATTTTAACGTAACTTTTTTTTAAATTATAGAAATACTTCTGAGTTAAACTTGGCCGATAGAAATCCCCCTCCCCGTGAACCTAGTTACAGGCCCATACTTTATTTGCCTAAGTTTAAGGTTGGTGAGCAGGTTAAGGTATTGGAGTGTGCCCTCACCTAATCATCACAAAAATGAAGTTTAAATAAAAAACAGGCACATAACTATAGTTCTACTGGTATTACACTGTATATACAGTTTCTGCCTTAATATTATAATGCATGTAAATTATTACCTCTGCATTTGATAGCTGCGTGGTGGCATTTCTTAGTTGTCGGTTATGTGTCAGAAGCTGAATTGTATGAATGCTGATGTAATCTGGTCGGCAGAGCTCAGGATGTAGCCTGTTAAAAAAAATGGAAAAACTTAAAATACTGTCTGGTACAATCAAATCAAATCTCTATTAGAGAGGTTTCGCACACGAACGAATACGTGCACACATACATTTAGCTACCTGTAATGGTTTGTAGCTATTCTGTGTTTTTCGCAATCACAGCGCAACTCAAGCATAGCCTAGACGGGAACCAGTCAATTTGAGCGGATGTTACTTCGAGCGAAGGCCAATTCGAGCGGAATTTTTTTCGAGCGGATGCTAGTTTCAGCGGAAGAAGATCCACTTGTGCGAACAACAACCTGTGCGAGTTATATACGAATTACTTCAAAATTTCCTATTTTTGAGCTAGAAATTTGACATTTTCAAAGGGGAAGGGGGCACACAACAGTTCCAGAATAGATAAGTGAGTAGCATAACTCAATTACAAATATAATTTTGAAAAAAATAATAGTCACTCGTCTTGTGTGTGTGCTTCTCGTGCACTCTAGTAAAACATACACTTTCTTCCTTTTTTTAAGCTGAAAAGTGCGCAATTCTATTATAGTTTTAACTTGTTAGCGGCCATCTTGGTAGTCGGAGTTGCCAAGACTGTAATTCAAACATGGATTAATTATAAAAAAGTACTAAAAACCTTTCAGAACCTTAGTAATCAGAGCATTTTTTTGCATTTAAACAAACAAATACAAAAATACGGCGACGATAAATTCGCCCTTGTTATAGTTCGCACTAAATGCATCCGCTCGAACTGGCATCCGCTCGAACTAGCATCCGCTCAAACTGACATCCGCTCGAATTGACTGGCATCCGCCTAGGCCTAGGGCCTTGCTTAGGCCTACTAGTACTATACTCTGTTCTCTTCTCTCATCATGCTTCTCAAAGTTTTATTAGTATATGTAAGATTTTTGAAATTGAAAATTGTAGCCGAAAAATACTTCCTTTGTTGCCGAGAAGTGTTGGTTATTTTGTGATAGGCCCTATTGTTTATGAACCAAAAGTGACTGTCCACAAGTAGGCCTAGGACTACACAAAATCCCAACACCACCAAGGTCAAAGCACAGATGTTTTGATACCCCAAAATGAAAATGAGACGCATCCTATCATAATTTGCTGTCTTTAAATGTCACAAAAATGGCACATACATATTTCAAAGATACATTTATTTTTTACACTTACGTAAAATGTGAAAAAATTAATGAAGATCTGACTAGAATTCCAAAATTTCCCTACGCGTTTTTCACTTACATGTAGTGAACGAGATATGCATGTCATCCACATGTTTAGCAGATAGCAGCCGGCATGACGTCAAAATGATGACCTATCCGTCACATTAATCATACGCGTTCGCGTGCGAAACCTCCCTAATGTCCAAATATAACAGAAACATTAATGAAAATTCGTCTTAATTCTACCATGAACATAAACAAATTAAAAAAAATATTTAATCAAACAATTGAATGGTTCATTAAAAGGATTGTCAAACATTAAACATGTAGTAGCATAAGTGTTTTCAAGGTTCAGTATACAAATAATAACTTATACAATCATGACCACATTATAATTAGATTACAAAACAATTGTTGGTTACTATTGAAAAATGTGAACAATTTTCTTACTGTGTTGGTTGTTGTTTCTTTGGAGTAAACGGATGTTGAAGATGAGATATGTCAATGTGGATTGGCTGTGGCTTGGAGAAAGGAAGTTTGACATCAAGACTCCTGACAGAACTTCCTGATTTGGCAGGTGGCAGCTTGCCCCAAAGATTCTCCATGACCTACAGAAAATAGAGAACAATTGACAACTAATGGTCACTTTAAACACAACACACTCTTTGGTGATTAATAGTGCAGGTTATATTTTTTAAATGAATCATCAAATTGCTTACACAGCTATTTAATAATTGAAAAATAATTGTACAAATTTTATGAAATTATACAGTAATAATTTTAACGCAATAAATATAAATTGAATGTTTTTTGAGATTCTTTTGTTATGTAGCCTTGTCTGTGCTTTAGTAGCTTTGGAAATTTAATTGCCTGCATAGCCATATAGCATCAGGTTGCATCCTAGCTTACATAAATTTCTTTTTATGTTAAGAATATCAATAAAGTATGATTGAACACATTTCCTCATTAATTTTTTGTACAATACCGGTATTATCACTTTAAATATACTTCTTTAAAAGTTTGAATGAAATGTCGACGTTTATCTAGTTTAGGCATGATCACTTCCTCTGATTTAGAAATTCTTCGTCGCCCACTTGGTTGGTAAATCATGCATTGAATTCGGACGTCGGTAAGGAAGGGCTAAGAATTGGGACTAACGTTTCACCCCACATTTTTTTAAAACTAAGTTACTATCAGTATAAAAAAGAGCTAAATATAAATATAAGCTAGACAACGGTAATAATAGAAAGAACGAATTATTACCACCATTAAATGCGCATTATTTTCACACAATCTCACACACACCACCAATGTTTTGGTTTTCTGCATAGAGCTTTTATGTTTGTTTTCCAAGGTTGAGGGCGTGCTGACCACTATGGCTGACCAGAGTTGCCTTGTTGTTCTAAGATTTGTTTATGAATTCATTGATAATAATATACCATATATCCATTTGATCTATAATGTTAGCCTATTGTAAAATTAAATATTTAAGTTTTTGAAGCAAGATTATACCCATAATTAAAGTAGATATTGGCGTGAACAATTGGTATGAAAATGTATAGGTACATACATTGAGTAATATTTTATCGCTTTTCCTGGCAACGAACACCTCCTCTCCTGCTCTGCCCTCTGCCTTGTTGTTGACTTGCCTACTTTGCTGTCTGTCAAAGTTAGTTACTTGCAAGAAGCAGGCATTTTGTTGAAAAGTGTGATGTGGCAGTTACTTGTCTACTGTAAGATTTAGAAGTTTTATTAATTAGGGGGTCATCTTAATTATTTCAAGGTAATCACTGCGTTCATTGTACGGGGGCTGGTCATCGGTAGTCGAATTATAGCAATAATAATTTAATAATCGACTGTAGTATAATCAATTTAAATTACTTAGGGCCTAGGCTAGTTAGGCTAGGCCTAGCCTCAGGCCCTAGGCCTAGTTAGTATAGCCAGGCCCATCTATTAATGCCTGCAGAAGTGCCACTGGTACAGTAAGTTAGGATTGTATAGAACTTCAAGGTAGAGTCAGTTCTCTTTATTTACTGTAGTTTTTAGGCTAGGTAAGTTTTATTATCTACCTTAATTTAAGGTTACGCCGCTGGTGTTCAACCAGGCAAATTTATGCGCCTGAAGAGAATGCGTGTGACCGCACGCATGTGCAGTTAATTTTCATGCGCACGTCCTTCACCAGATTGTTAGCTTTTTGGTTTTTCGACGAATTATCGAACAGTTTTTGGGAAGTGAAATAATGCGCAGCCAATCACAGCTGTAGAAAAGATTTTATCACGCACATAATAAGCACAGAATCGAATCGATGAATGTACGCATCACCACTGCACGTGCAATGTAGCAGAAATGTTTGTAAAAAATCTGGGGTCTTGGCCTGTCTGACAGGGACTGCTCCTGCTGGTTACTGAATACCAGACTTGGCAACTTTAAACAATGAGATTATTCTACAACAACCATTTGGTACATTAGGTTCGCTAATAAAAAAAAATATATAATGTACACTCTGATAAATATTGTTTCCTTATTTTACTAATACCAGAGGCTTTAACATCATAACTCTAAAAAGAATGGTTGTGACCAATATATGTTGCGTTGGGGCTGGCTATGTTGGTGGTCCAACATGCAGTGTGATTGCAGCTAAGTGTCCTGACATTCGTGTTACTGTTGTAGATTTAAGTCAGCAAAGAATCGATGCATGGAATTCAGATGATTTTAACCTGCCAATATATGAGGTAAAGAATTAAAGTTGCTATGCATTAAACATGTTGTCTGCCTTAGGTACAGTTTACTTTTGACCTGTATATAGTAGTGGCGGATTCAAGGGGGTGGTCAAGCTGGCCAGGGGGCCCCTACATTTGTAAAAATTATTTTAAAATATGGAGAAAAAAGGGAAAATTATAATTAAATTTAAGTCTGAGAGTTCTATAACCATAACTTTTATTGCCTCAGCCCCAACCATGGTGAGACTGAGGGTGTCTAGACTCTCCATCTGTGAAAGTTATTCCCTGGGCCCCTCTATTTCAAATTCCTGGATCTGCCACTGATATAGTTTATTATAGGCCTATATTTGTGTGTACTTAAATTTAAATAATCATGCTACAAGTGATCTTGTTCATGGGACATTTTATTCAGACATGCTTTATATGCTTTATGAAACAATATTAATATTGTATTTCTCACGCTCACAATACAAAAGGACCTTATGGTGTATAATTCATCATGAGTCGTAGGTGAATATATACCGTAATAAAAAATTATTAAAAAATGTTTAAAAGGGCATGCTTTATATGCTTTATGAAACAATATTTATTGTATGTATTTCCCACCATACCAGATTTTCTCACACTCACAATACAAAAGGACAGTATGGTGTATAATTAATCATGAGTCGTAGGTGAATATATACCATAATAAAAAATCATTTAAAAAAAATAAAAAAATTAAAATAATAAATTTTTAAATACTGTGTTAATCTGTCATCACACTATTTCTCCACCAGCCTGGTCTCAAAGATGTGGTGAAGGAATGCAGAGGGCGCAATTTATTCTTCTCAACTAACATAGATGAGGCTATCAATGCTGCAGACATCATCTTCATATCTGTCAATACTCCAACAAAAACATATGGACTAGGAAAGGTAAGACTTGAAAATGGTACAAAATTTATAGAATTTCCAAATATTAACTACAGTTATACATTGTTCTGTTTGTGTTATTCTATTTACTCATTTTAACCCTTTCCAGTCTGCCACATTACCATTGCCTGAGGCTTTACCAAAGCTTGGAAATTACATCATCTACACTAAATGTCGGGTTTTTACTGGGCGCAGGCATTTTATTTGGTCTGAATACAGGAGACCCTCTAGAGCAATACTCCTACATAACTCTCAAAAAATCCTGTAGAGGGCAGCCTAGCTATAAAATAATTATCATGAAATCTATACAGGGCGTACATACCACGCCCCTCACTATAAAGTATGGTCAAAGAGGGCGTCGTCGCGATGCCGTACGACTGGAAAGGGTTAATAAACTTACTTAGAAAACAGATTTGATAAGCAAAAGCATTGTATTAGTCTAATGCACATTGCTCTAAAATTTAAATATTTTTTCATTGTGTACAAATAATTTTTACATTCATTATTCATTAATTTATGCATGGTGAATAACTTGTTTACTAATTGCTTTTTCACCTTCAATTAAACTCTCTAATTTACATATGGTGACACAGATAACAAAATAGTGCCCTCTTTACAAAGATGTAACTTATTAAGAGGAATCTAATTATCAAAGAAAAGGAATAAAAACAAAACAAAAAGTATGAAAATGATGATAAAAACGCATTAACCACAATAAATACCATAGAATAACTTTATGAACTATGATTTTAAATATACTAATACAAGTTTCTGTAAAATTTTTCTATTCAGTTTTCTGCTGTTATTAAGAAATAAAATCGTTTAATGCTTTATCTTCCTTCCATGAAGGGTCGAGCACCTGATCTTAAATACATTGAGGCAGCTGCTCGACGGATAGCAAATATCGCTACTGGGAACAAGATTGTAGTTGAGAAAAGCACAGTACCAGTAAAAGCGGCAGAGAGTATCCATCGTATTCTGTTTGCAAATACTACTAATGGGGTTCGATTCCAGGTATAATGCTTTTTTAACTGTTTCAAAGTGTTGTTTTTATAGTCGGGCTCCAGAGGAAAATTGTAAGACTCAAAAACCATATTTGATGAAAAACTTGAGAACGGTAAATGAGATACAGATTTTTGAATTTTTAAAAACTGGGAACGGGGGGGGGGGGGACATGCTTCATTTTTGGCCGTTAACAGAAATGGTCCATGGCACCAGAGTTTTTGAAAAACTGTAATAAATCCTTCTGCGATGGGTTCTTAAATTATTTATTGCCACTGAAAACCATGGGATCATCACGTTTAGAAGTATGTTGCTGGCCAGGACTCTTTTGTTAACTCCCAATGGACATTTTAAAAACCAATTAAGTTAAGCTTATGGAGCGGCTGACAGCTCTCTCTGGACCACCTAACAGCTCACTATGGACCATTTCTGCTAAGAGAAACTTTTACCTCATGAAAAAGTGGAAAAAAGTTATGCCCCTTCCCCCCCCCTAGTTTTTAAATATTCTGTACCTCATTAACCGCTTTTAAGTTTTTCGTCAAATATGCTTTTGTGTAAAAAATCAGTTGTACAACATATCAAAAAAATTTTTCTCAGGTGCTGTCTAACCCAGAATTTTTAGCAGAAGGGTCAGCCATTAATGACCTTATGAACCCTGACCGAGTTCTGATTGGTGGTGAGCAGTCATCAAGCGGTCTGAGGGCAGTAGAGGAGCTAAGCTGGGTGTACGAGCACTGGATACCAAAGGAAAAAATAATAAAGACAAACACTTGGTCATCAGAACTTTCCAAATTAGTAAGAATTGTTTGAATTCTACAAAATCATTTTATAAACCACAAGTTTTCATGCAATAATTTCAGGATAAAATGTAATCATCACAAGCTTTTCATCTGAGTGATTGGTGGACAACCTAATAGAATTGTCCACTGACCTGAAGAAACAGCCTATATTATTAATATCATTTACTAACATTTATTGTTTAAATTATAATTTAAGCATTAAAATACTTAAAAAAGACAATTAACAATTAATGATGTGCAGGTTGAATATAATTGAAATATATTAAATTGTAGGCTGCTAATGCATTCCTGGCCCAGAGAATCTCAAGTATCAATGCCATGAGTGCTGTGTGCGAGGCTACAGGAGCTGACGTAGGAGAGGTTGCTCATGCCATTGGTACAGACTCAAGATTAGGACCAAAATTCCTACAAGCTAGTCTAGGTGAGAAAAGAAAAATAATTAACACAATGATAGATGTTTCTACACATTGGTTTTTTTTTTATCTGAAAGCTTGTGCGTGTCTGTTAGGGCTTTGTGTTTCCTTGTTGTTTTGCCTCATTGACGTTTCATCCTGGGCCAATTCACCCTTGGTTTTTTTGTACTGCTTTGTTTTTTTCTCTCCTCAACACTCTTTGCAGGAGTAAAGTGAGGAGTTTTACTAAGCCTTAGGCACCCAAGCAGCCACAGTGTAGCCCTCAGTACCAACATATTACGGAAACATTTCCCCTTATTCTGCATAGTTCTTATGCAAGATTTATTCAAGGAAAAAAAAGCTATCAGACTCCAATTAAAACAAGACGCTGGCCGAAAAACAGTTTTTAGTGCAGGAGCAAGAACAGCACCTTTTCGGCCAACTGCTCAGCTAAATGACACATTGCATATTTCCGGGCATCATTGATGTATTAACCGCAAAAAGTATGAAGTTTAAAAAAGTGTTGATGTTTTAAAAATATTATGTAATGCATTTTCGAAAATTTATTTAAGATTTATCCATTTTTTCAGGTTTTGGTGGTAGTTGTTTTCAAAAAGATGTACTTAATCTTGTCTACCTTTGTGAAGCTCTTAACTTACCTGAAGTTGCAGCCTATTGGCAACAGGTGTGTTTACACATTGAGTGTCATTTGTTAGTGTCAGTCCTTTTTGTGTTTCAACCATGGATGGGTATCTTTTTTTTTTAATTTTAAAATAAAAATAAAAAATTAACAGAATATTACCCAAAATCAGATTTATACAATAATGCTATTGTCTTTTGTTATACAGGTGATAGATATGAATGACTATCAACGAAGACGCTTTGCTAACAAAGTAATTGGCTGTCTATTTAACACTGTTACGGATAAGACCATCACTATTCTTGGGTTTGCTTTCAAGAAAAACACAGGTGACACAAGGTAGGGTGTGACATTCTTAGTTGCTGCTTCTTCTTCTATTATTATTATTATTATTATTATTATTATTATTGTTATTATTATTATTGTTGTTATTATTATTATTATTAATATTATTATTGTTGTTATTAATAAGTAGATAATATTTTAAACTTTTCTGCAGGGAATCGTCAAGTATCTACATGTGTAAATACCTGATGGACGAGGGCGCTAGGCTGCACATCTACGATCCTCAGGTTGCTCAAGAGCAGATAATAGCAGACCTTACACACAGGGATATATCTGAGAAATCTGAACGAGGTAAGATGCAAGTTGTCTCCCCGAGTTAGTGTGCTCTGTACTTGAGCCAGTTTGTGCGCGTAAAGATGTGTGTGTACAAATTACCGATGTGTTTATGCACATGTATTATAGTACTAAAAAATGCACAAATTGAATTCATGGTCACATACACACATAAGCACTTTCAAGAGCATGTGAATATGTAACGTAATGCAATTATGCACATGATACCAAACTATTTATTTCTGGTTATTGGATACAGAATAAATTATACACAATGCTCGATCTCTTTCCTGTAGAATACTTAGTCAAGCATGTCTCTAATTCAGTACCAAACCAATTTCATTCTAAGTCATTCAAAGAGTACTTATTGTGAAAGGAGAATCATAAAGTGTCCTGCCAAAGGACACATGCAATGTTGCCATATGTGCTATTTAGTATTGGTATTTCATGTAAACCTTTAGTTATATCCAACTGAACTACTGTATTCCAGTGAAGGTGTCAGGATTAGCTGTAAATTCAGAGGTAGCACACTTGATAAGAATTCCGAACATACTACTCTTGCATTCAAGTTCAAAATAAACCAGTCATGTTCCATTTTAATCATATTAATACTACATTACTTTAACATATTTCAAGACTATGGTAATCAAGGTAACTCCAGATACAAGTTTGATGTGAACACATCCACTAGATTTAAACCTTATATTTCAAGGCTACAGTAATCTTGTTAATTAGACATAAGTTTGGTGTGTACCACACGGCAGCGGCTTACACTTTGCTGTGAATAGATTCATGGTACTGAATTGCTCGAGTTCCTATACAGTGTTGTTTTGATATTTTATATTTATGTATCGGAAAACATTTTCTAGATACCCTTTTGTAATCCTTTTGTGTTCTTTTCTGTCTGTGGATATTTTATGCTTTTAATTGGTACTGTATGTTCTTAATCCTTGGTATTTACAGTGTACTAAATTTGATTTTAACTATTATAATACATAAAATGTGATTTGTTTCGCTGATTAGATATCACAGTTCATGTTAATTTGTTTACAGGTCATCTAACTGATAATAAAGGTAGTTATTATTAAAGTATTCAAATTTTGGTTGGGCAGGTAAATTCAAGATGGCAACAACTCTTGAAACAGAAACCGAATGGGAGAAAGGTAAATTTGAAGGTAACTGCTTGTCATCTTCATTTAGACCAATCCCTTCATTCAATCATTAATTTGTTACATTTATTTCCTCTGTTAAAGCAGAGGTACCGGTATGTTTTTTGACTTCATGTTTACTAGTAAAGCCAGCTTCGAAGGAATATTATACATATTATATTATACATTTTGAATATTCTAAAACATTAAAATTGTGTTTGAAGAAATATTGGGAAAAAGCTAATAAGATAAGTTATTGAAAATTTAAAACCTGGGAAATCGAGTATAAATACATTTTTTGATATAAAAAAAAATTTTTATATCTGGTTAGTCATCTCCATTTATTTCTTCAAAAACCCATTTACTCTCTTAGAAGATTCATTTGTACAACATTTAATTCTCCACTGGACCCTGGCTTAGCCCATATCCAAACTGGATTGGAGGCAACATTTGTTAGTTCATTATGGTTCATTCCAAATCAGAGAGAAATTTGAATGTTTACCTGTGACCCTCCTTCGATTTTCCTTTAAAAAATTATAAAAATACCTTGAAATATGTCAAAAGAATGAATCAAAAATTTCAGCTTCAATTTCCCAGCGGTTTTTAAGTTATGACATTTTGAAATTTAGGTATCACACCCCCTTTTCCATTCTTATAATGGCACCAGTGCTTTTATACAGTTTTTAGGAATCTATATCTCCTGGATAAAATGTGAAGGTGTTCACAGGGCCATGGTGGTTGATTTGAGCCAGAATGCCGGAATGACCCTAATGGTTTCTTGTTTGTCATACTTCAATTGCAATTTGTTCAAGAGTGACAAATTTTAACGATTTTTTTTACTGTATCTTGCTTTTAAGTATCATCTTTCAAGGTGAAATATAGTGGCAAAAAAAAAACAAAACAGTGCACTAATACAGGGGAAACAAATTGAGAGAAGTCTTTTCAGGGAAATATGGTTAATGACTTCGTAACATATCTTATTGTATTTTGCTGAAAAAGTTAATATCCTTATTGATCCATTCCTGATGATGACATAATTAATGTTGAATTATTGAATCATGACATGATGGCATGCATTTCGATACTTGGAGTGCGGTATGTATTATACTATCTTATCTGAGATTAATCAGTGGTCCTTTCGGTTTTTAAGTTAATATCCATGAGCAACTAACTTCAGGGAGACAATTAATAATACGGTGCTGTAGTATAAACATGCAAACATGTGAATGTGTGGTTGATAGGTTGTTAATTTATGGGACATTAATACTTGCTCACAGGAGTTGCGGTACTTTTGGTTTTTGTACAGGATACTCCTGTGACTGGTAATTAGTAAAAAATTAATTTTTTTCTGATTCTGGAATTTTTAGCTTAGTATCATCATTCACATTTACATACATTATATATAATTATGTTTAATATTGTTGTCTTTGCATGCTTATCAATCTCCTGAAAATATTGTTTATGCTTTAATTATTTAAATGCTGTCTATTTTTGAGTTCAAACAGGTCAGTTTGTATTTTCTAAAGTGAAAGCTTACGTATGATGGGTTTCACAAACTAGTTATTCAAGCAATCGCAGTAGATGGTATTCCATATTAAAGCAATGTTTTTATTGAATAACCTATACAACATGAAAGTACACCACAGAAGGATAAATATTTTTAACTGGGATTAAAACAAGTTCTGTCTTAAAATTAAATCTAACAAATCCAGTTTTGCTTTGGGATTCAAGTTTGACAAAATTATTGGTAATTTTAGATGTGGATGCAGATTTTTTTTGTGTAGGTATGTATACAGATGGGGATGTTGAAACAGTAACCACTGTGCATGCTTCACACAGCACAATGATCTCAATAAGATGTTTCACAATTAAAAATTTTATCTTTCACATGTAAATGTACAGTATTATCAATACATTCCACGAAATTACATCAGATGATATATGCTGGGAAAAAAAATTGACAAAATTATTTTCTCTCTTTTTTGTTTTGTTTTGCAGTTAGTAAGTTAGTGAAGATATATAACAACCCGTATGAAGCGCTGGAGGGAGCTCATGCATTTGTTGTTTGTACAGAATGGGATGAATTCAAGGTAGGAAGTTATTATTTGCAAAATTGTGGTTATAATACTTACTTCAAATGCTCACCTCATCTGTGTTCACTGTTCATAGGTTGAATTTATGATGGAGAATCACTTTTAATACTACTTTATTTTCTCTATACAGTAGTTTTAATTGTGAATACGTGCAATAATGTGTATAAATCTAAGTTGAGTAAAATCAGTCAATTGCAATTTGTTGCATACAGAATTTGTCTTTTTAGTTGATTTTTTTTTGTTGTTCTTGAACTGGATTTCATAATTCTACTTGTCACTTCATTGGAGTTCATTGTCATACCATACAATGTGCTTAACAGTATATTTAACACATGAATGGGGAGAGGAGCTTAGCTCAGTCGGCTAATCTGATGGTAGCCACTGTGTGTGCACTGAACCGTGGAGGTCTCTAGGTCCCCGGTTCAATTCCCATCGCTGCCTCTCCTTGTGTTTCAGCTGGAGGGGATGAAATACAAGTTATAATAGCGCACCGTCTTTCGGATGAGACGTTTAAGTCGTTGGTCCCATGTGCATGTATGGCCCATGTGTATGTTAAAGAACGCAGTACACTCTTCGAAAAGAGTAGGGGATTGTCTCCCGGTGTACTGCCCAATCACCACCAGAAGGACCCCACTGGAAATAAGTCTTCTTCTAGACTTTCGTAGGCTATTCTTGGTGTTTACACCGAATGAATCCAATCCAATCCAAAACTATATTTATTGATAGCATTTATATATTTGTACTTTAAAGATGTCCAAATTACATCAAATGTATTTTTCCTTATTTGTGCCGTGTAAACGTAAAATTAATTTATGTTCATTATCTCAGGTTTTCACACTTTTGAATATGGGCAAAAAAACATTTTGCAGAGTTTTGGGAGACCAGTGATGTATTGTGGGTATTTTTAACAATAGCTCATCAATTATATCAACTTTGATTTTGTTTTATAGGAATTGGATTATCTACGCATCTATAATAGCATGCTGAAGCCGGCGTTTGCTTTTGACGGTCGAAGAATCCTGGATCATGATTCATTGAAAAATATAGGTTTTCATGTTGAGACTGTCGGTCACAAAACAACATTGAAGGATTTTCTACCAATCACACCATAGGGCATTTAAGGTTTAATGAATAAATTACAATTTTTTGACATTTTATACAAATTTTATAAATGAATTAGTGTAGGTAGTTATATATAAATTTTGTATATACTGAGTTTTATATCGTGGTTTTTTGTTTTGGATTTTAAAAACAAGGCGGATAGGTAGAGGGTTGTATTTTAAGAGTCTAGTATAAACAGAATTTTTAATAGTCTCCTTTTCCGTTATCCCTTAGCCCAACGTCTCCTATTTCCTCTTCCAAGCCATCGTCCGATGGATAGGTCACTCTATAATTTATATATGCTGCTGTGATAAAATCACTTTTTGTTTAATCACCTACCTCATTGCATTTTGGTTTAAGGATTTTAAAATGTGCACTTTTTAATAGGTATGCAAGACTATTAACAGTACCTCTGTATTTGTACCTCCCTTGGGCTGTCATTAATATTTAGTACCTCAATTGGTAAAGCTGTAGTATAAAGCTTAGTATGCCGTAGGTCTAACCCTTTGGTAAGCTCATCATAAGTCACTGGTGTTTAGTACAATAACACCATATTGATATATGATGATGTTACATTGATGGACCATCACTCATCAAATTGCCATGGTTGAGTAAGCACCGATTTTTCATAAACAAAACCACAGATGGAAGACAATTGGAGGTGGGGGGAGGGGCACAGTCCTAGTGAGATGCACATAAATACACACTATGGGAAGTTCACTAAACACCAATCCATTGATGAATTTATAGCAGTTTTTTTAATGGTTTGTTTGTTGATTTAATATTTCTAATTTTTATCTCATTTTTATTATTAAGTCATCTGGCGACACCCAACGCGCGAATCCTTCCATTGTTTCTTCCCCTTCTTAGTAGCCTTGTTGGTAATTAATAACTAAAGAGGAGTAATTTAAACAGGGTTGTACATATACCTGTACTGTAGACTACATTTAATGTGTACTATAATTATCAGCAATGTATTCTATTTTCATATTAAACTTAAATGCTGCTATTACATATTTAAGCTTGTAAAAAATGTAAACATGTTATTGGAAATAATTTACAGATTATTTTGTTTGGTTTTTAGTAATTAAAAGAGGTGGAATTTAGAATTAATATTCATGAGAATTTATACAAAATATTCATTGATGGTTTCCATGGTGAAGTAAACACATGTATTCAAATCACATGCTAACTATAATCATGAAAACGTTTTTTAAGCCTGAAACACTTTTTAATGCAGATTTTGGTAGTTTTATTTTGATATGAACTAGTTAGGAATTGCATGATGATGGCATTAAACATTTTTTTAGAATATTTTAACAATTTCTATAGATTATATTTATATCGCACCAAATAGAATATGTATTAAATTTTGTTAAATATTCTGAACTGATTTGAAGACAAGCTCCAAGCCCGTAGGCAGGATTTTTTAAGGAGGGGCGGGGGGATTTTCTAATTTTTCACAAAAAGGCACTTTGATTCCTTGCTACCTCAGCCCTACCATGGCTGGGGTAAATTTTAAAGATATAACACCTCAGATGTTCGGAAGTGGCAGTAAAAATGCCAAATTTCAAATAGTTGGAGTTAAACAAAGACTTCCATGCAAATGGTACTTTTTAATAATAATTTAAAAGGACCAAATCCCCTGGCTACAGGCTCTAGTTCTTTCAATATTTATTGAATTTACTTTTTAAAAAATGGAATTAGTTTCTGTGATGATTAATTGTCTGTGACGTGTCTATAAGGTGCTTTGCAGTGGTGGCTCCAGAAGATGGGGGGCTTTGGGTGTGCACCTCCCAGAGGTTGCACCCCCAGCCACTTGAAATTTTCCGAGCCAAAAAAATTACAGATAGTAAAAAATCATGTATCGCCTCATTTAATCATCAAGCCCCTCCCCATCAGCTCCTTGTGTCAATATTCTGTTGATGCGCCACTGTGTTCCAACTCATAAGTTTTAGTGCAATTCTTTTGACCAAAAGATCGCTAATTGTGCTGTTTTTAAGTACTGTATTAGTTTTAATATCTAGCATTTATACACCTTTGATATAATCTTTTTTTTTTTATTGTCTATTAGGAAATGTTGATATTACTGTATTGTGGAATTGATATTACATTAATAATTTCTAATTCATTTCAGTAGCTTTGTCCAGATTATCAAATTGTCTTACAAAAAATTGCTGTATGCCCATATTGTATATCGACATGTGATGCCATCATGACCATATGTGGCAAAGACAAGCCAAACCAGTCACTCGTCGCAAAAATTTTGAGTTATTAATACAGGGTTAAAGAGTAAAATAAGAGCTATAAAATGGTAAAAAAATCATTCAAATCCGACATTTCCTTATGAAGTTACAAGCCTTTAAGCATACAGCTGTTTAAAGAACAATATATGAGAAATCAGCCTTCAAATTTTATGATTTCAGGCATTTCTCATGCAGAAACTATCATAAAATCTTTAAAAAGTGTTGTTTTAACATTGAAATTGGGAAAAATAACAGCACAGCATGATGTATAGATACATAAACCTTAGTTTGGTGAAATAAAATAGATTTTTAAAAATTTTACATTCTAGCATGTTTTTGCTATTTTCTCTGAAACACAATTTGCGACGAGTGACTGGTTTGGCTTGTCTTTGCCACATATTAGGCAAGTCACATGTTTCTGTGATAGTCTGGCCTGAGCTTATGAGATAGTTGTACCAAACATTGCAAGGCTCTGATAGTGCATGCCTGGCTGACAATGTAGTGAAGAAGGTGATTGCCTTCTTATCAGTGGCACTGCCAGCTGGGGGGGGGGGGAATACCCCATATCAGACAAGCATGGATCCCCCATTGTCCAATGCCATGACAACGTCATCTAATAATTATTTGCTGATCAAAATAATTGATTTCTGTAAGTGGTGGAATACTTGCTAGCAAGAGGTACATAATGATTTTGAATTACTATCGGCCTATTGCAGAATTCTTTGTATTTAAATCATGAAAGTTGGTATAAATTAATGAAGTAATCATTGAATAAATAAATTTTTTTTGTATTTTTTACTCCACACTTTGCAAGAGTTTATTTTGCATATGAATAATTTAATATGAAGAAAATATTAATGTTATAGCTTATCAAGATTTGCTTGTGAACTCATGTGAACAGCACTTCCATACATTTTGTAATAAATATATTTCAAAAGCTATATTGCCATTACACAAGTTTTATTTACTGATTCTTAGTTATCTTGGCATGGTAGAAAGTCAATACCTGTAATAATAATGATTGTTTTAAATGATATTTTTTTTTTGATATTTTGATGAAGATATAATCATAGCTTTATACCAGGCCTACAATGATGTTGCAGTCAAGATAGAAATTTAGTCTGGGCTTACAGTATTTGCTCTTGAAAAAACTGCAAACCAGGGATTGACTGCACTGTATTGCCAAATAACAGTAACCAATGGAAATAAGTCTGGTCTTTCTTTTCAAGTGCAATTGTACTTATTTTAAGATCTCCAATATTTAATGATTTTCCATATTGCTTTATAAATTTGGCTATTTTTAGTGAATTATGAAATTTCAATGTTCATGACCTATTTTAAAGCATTGCTGGTGATGGTGTCTTCCAAATTAATAACAAAAAACATGACCAAGGGTGGATTCAGAGGGTGGGATTATACAGGTTGTATATATTGGCAGGATTGTTGTAGAGATTATATTCCATTCCATTCATATGGCGCCATTCCAACTGTCATTGCTCGTGGCGCAGTAGACTAGATGTTGCATTTTTCAATAACTCTCCTCCCTAGGGTCACTTCATGTACTCTGCCCGTGAGAAGGGCTGAGTGGGCCCGTACAACGGGGTAATCCCTACTCGTTTCGAAAAATGTACTGGGTTCTTTAAAGTGCGCATGAGCATTTGTGTACATCTCGGAAAATCCTTATCTAAGACCAGTTCCACCAACAGAACTAGGAGTAATTCGGCCACGAACCCATGCCGGTACTGTTGGCTATGGTTACGGTTCCCCTGCCTTGACCACTTGGCCATTCAACAGGAATTTCCAAAAAAATTAAAGACTTGATTTTTAATCAGTATCAATTTCAACAGTTTATTAATAATAATAATAATTAGTATGTACAAGACATTTCTTTGTGATCTAAAAGGACATGCTGTACAATGTGCATCACCGTTGAAAATATCAAGTTTATCAAGAAAGTATACCACACCCCATTATAAATTAACTGGTACAAAAACAAATTATATGTAGTCACTCTTAGTAAATTTTGATCACCCATTGACTATAATCTAAACATTATTTTAAAAACTATTCTACCACTTTAATGCTGGTATACACTTGTTAATATGATTAGCCAAACAAAAAATTGTCCGCCGCCCATGCCCAGTGACTTGAAAATCAGGGTTGGCCAGTCAACCATGGTTAAATTTGAAATCTGGGGTTCACTGCCAACCAAAAATTATCCCCATGCATTTTGGTTGGTAGAATGTTAACATAGATAAAATAAGTGGCCTAGATATCCATTTTATTAAATCTCAAAATGTGGCCTTTCGATCCATACAAATACAGGAAATTTTGGCTCCATCGTAAAAATAAAATATTTATGTAAAACAAAAACAGACCCTAATTTTCAGGCTTCGGCAACACACGTTTTTGGCCTTATTTTACATCAGTAAAATTAATCTAATACATTAATGTAATCACAAAATGAAATATACAAATATAACATTGAGAAAAATGTCCAAAATTCTAAGCTTTTAGAGCCATCAAAATACATTGACAAAGTGTACAGCATAAAATCATTGATATTAGACCTACGTCAATAGTAATAAAGCATTTAACAAAGCCAAAAGGTTTATGATGTATAGACATGCAGTGTTTTGTCAAAGTCTAAAATTGAGTCTAAACACCTATATTCAAATTATAAACAGCTATTAGAATTCAATAATAAATTAATAGAAAAATAATTGCTAATCTCTTGCTTTATGCGACATCAATTATTAATGCAATAATTATTCAGTTAATTTAAATGGTAATAAATCTTTATTATTTCCCATCTTTACTGTCCAATGACATGCTTCGTTTTGATTTAATGAAGGCCATGCCATGATTACGCATGTGTGTTCTCAGATTTGTCTCCGTATCAAACACCTTGTAACACACTTGACATTCCATTGAGTTACTATCAAATCTCTTAAAGATTTGACCAACAGGTGCTGCCTTAACCTTTGTCTTCTTGTCAGTTTTCTCCTCACTGCATACAATTTCCTTTACACTGGTATCTTGTTGGTCCAGATACTGATTCAAAGCATATATCTTATGTACGGCACGGAGATGCATCTTGAGTGACAGAACAGCTCGAAATGATAAGCCACATTCTTGGCATTGGAGGGCACCATTAGCATCGTGTTTCTCCAAGAGATGACTTTTGAAGTCTTCTCGAGCCGGGCATGTGAAATCACAAAGGGCGCAATTGAAATCTTTCCGTGGAAGGATGATTTTTAATTTTTTAATTGGAGCAGCATCATCTGCAGTGTCTGCATTTCTTTTACGTTCATCACTGCCAGCTACAGTCAATGTTGGCACGGTACTTGTGCTTGCAGTGTCAACACTGCTGCTTTTCGCAATTGTTTCTTTATGTGTGAGCAAGCAATGTGTATCAAGGTCTTGTTTAGATCTGAACAACAGAGTTCTTCCACTTTTTGAACAGTGCAAACATTTATGTATGTCATGCATTTTTCTGCTGACTGGATTCAGGGCTTCCGGTTTTTCTCCCGCCTGTACTTTCATGTTATTGTCTCCATCTTTTGAAATCAACACATTGATATCTTCAGGGTTCTTGAACTTGCTATGGAGCTTCATACTACAATGTTTCTTGTGTGGCGCAAGTTCACTAAAATTCTGAATGGCACGATTACAGAATTCACAATGGAAATGATCAGCACAGTTCTTATGAGTTACAAGCATGTGACTTTCGAGCGAGGTCAATTGCTGAAAGAGTTTTCCACAATGAGCACACTCATGCACAAGTTTAGTTTCACTCAAATCGGAATAAGTGTGGATGGTGTTAATGTGCAAGGTAAGTTGTTTCTTGTTGCCGAACACTGTTTCGCATAACGGACATTTTAATATTATGTTACACATACTTGAATTCCTGTTGTTTCTGTGTTCCACCACAGTGTGACACTTTAAGCTTTCTACAGACCTGTATGCCAGTTGGCATTCAACACACTTGAAAAAACTTTCCGCATGTCGGTCTAAGAGATGGTTCTGGTAAACCTTAAAGCTTGATACATAGATGTTGCAGACTGAACAGCGAACTAAGATCTTTCGTGACATGTGAAAACAAAATTGTTGAATGTGCTGGTATGCTCCTTTTTCTGTATCAGACACAAGTCCACAGTCTGGACACTGCAATGGTTCCTTGTGTTGATGGTAGTTCTTGTGTAACTCTGCCATACAAGGGTTAATTAAAATCTGATCACAATTCTGACATACCACTCTCTTTGTTTCTCTCTTAAAGTGAGCAGCTTTAGAGACACGTGATGAAAATTTTTCCATACAAATGAGGCATGCTTTCTTTCCTTCTTTGAAATATTCTTGAGGCTCAGAAATTACAACTTTTTCTCCAGTTTTACTGCTGCCTGTTTCTGATTCTTTGGTAGGCTGTGTTTTATTAACTTCTGTTGTCACCACCAACCCCTGACCTGGAATTGCAATACCATCCTCCGCATCAGTACTTCCCTGGTTACCAAAATGGTTGGCTTGTTGAGAGGGTAACAATGACAAGGATGCAAGATTAGCACGCAACTCAAAAGATTTCTTAGTGACTCTTGCATGTTCTCGTGCATGGATGAACAAGCTGCACTTATTGAAGAAGTGTTTTGTGAGGTTGCAGAATGGACACTTGTACTTGATTAGGCTACTACGTCTACTGACATGCATGTTTAGACTTGATTGGAAGGTATATGAGTCACCACAACCTAAACACCTATATGGACTTCCCTCAAGTTTGTCAGCGAAGCAGTCTGGCATGACCTTCGCAACATGCTTCCGTCCAGACTTAAACAGATTTGACAAGCCACCGTTGACAGAATGTATTTGAGTACTAGATTCAAATCCACTGATATTTACGTGGTCTTGTGAGATTACTGTGGTACAGATACTACTTGATGCCTTTTGACCAGTTGTGCTTATGAACTTGTAGTTCAATTTGCGGCCCTTTGTATTTCGTGGCGCAATTGTTGTGGAGGTTTTCGTTGAAGTGGGCACGGCTTGAACAGCACTGACAGTGCTGGTGGTCTTCACTACGCTTACTTGTTCCGAAAGGAGCGCTAATGCCTGAGATGCAGAAGCACCTACTTCTGGTGACTTTTTTAAAGAATTAATGGCAGGCACTGCTGAAGCAGCAGCAAATTGTCCCTGGGTTGGTTTCCTATTTAGCAATGGTGCAACAGCAATTGAAACTGGTAAAGTAGTTGTGGTTGCTACGGTCTGAAGTTGTCCTATCACATTGTTGGATAGACTATTCTTTACATTTCTGGCATCAGTATCAGGTGCCTTCACGTTTGACTTTATATTTACTTCACTACTCCCAGGGTTTCCTGAATTACCTTTGATGCCTTCCTCAACTTTGATTTCTTTGGCATTCAAATTCTTCTCTGAACTGGGGCTGGGTTTTATTTTTAAACTTCCTTCCTCATTATCCATTTTTTTGTCTTGGATATCATATCCTTCGCGCAGCTCATTGTGAGATGAGTTTGGGTTACTAGACGCAACCTAAAAATAAAAGAATTTTACGATGAGGCCAATCCCAATTCATAATCCTATATCATTTTTGATAAAGTGGTCGTGATGAGTTTTTATTACCTTATTTGGCTTCTCTGTTTCCATCGTCTGAAGGAATTTGCATAAATTTTTTATCTACAGAAGTATGAATCAACCTGGTGAGACAATAACATGGTAAAGTTTGTTAACAATATGTATATTTTTTTTTTTTTTTTTTTTTTCTGGGAGCAGCACATCTCTAAGACAACAGTGGTTCCGCTTTTGCTGCTTCCTGGCTCACCTGATTTTCTTTGTTTGTGAATTTCTGATTTTTTGTATTTGTAATGTTTTATATTGTTAATTGTTTTGCCAGAATGAATAAAATAAAAAATATGTTCATTGAGTTTGCGGTTAGTTAGGAAAGAGTTGTTGCTAGTTTAAAAATTGCGACTTTGGCCTATTTTGGTGAATATCTCAATATGATTTCACCAATGATGCATCTCATTTCGTGATTACAAATTATAAAAGGCGAAATAAAGAATGAATGAATGATACAGCTTTAATGGAACACTGTCTGAAAGAGCAAAATGATGGCTTAATTTTTCATGCTAAACAGTTATTATCATTTTTAATGTGAAGTTGAGTGGAAAGGTGAACAAATTTCTTTCATTCACAAGTTCATAAATTTTCATGGACATTTTAGTACATTTCTATACACCGATAAATATAACACATAACAATACAACTTAAGACTCCGTCGAGAATATAGTTTAGAATGTCATCTACGTCATACACTGCCTAGTATCTTATTTTTCCTCTGATGATTTTCAGACCTAATCGGCCCTCAACTGCACTGGTCTGACGTTTTCTGTAATTTCAATGTGTTAAAACCGTGGCTAGCCTACCGGTAACAGATTACTTTACTGTGCTTTGTAAGCCCAATATCTAGGATTTGGTTTAAAGATAATACCATTTGACTGAAAGTGATATATATTTTGTGCCTTATCTGAGTATTGTTTTTTTAGCAATCTTATCTATTTTCATTACAAATTAATTTTCAATTTTATTGCTGTTCCAACCTTTGGAGCTCAAAATTCAGTTCATTAGACTGGATGTGAAGCTGGTGGTCTCACACCAAATCTGCGTTGAAGACTTGGTGGCAACACTAATTGTATTTAGCATATGTACAGTATATACATGCCAAAATTGTTGCTAAGGGTAGGTGAAAATATGGTTCAGAATTTCAAAATTATGTTTTATGGTCTCGTTTTTCTGATGGGGGGGGGGAGGTGGGGATCCATTTTGAATTTGGGATAATTTTTGAGACCACAAGAAATTTGGGAAACTACTGATGAAATCGTGAAAAGTGAAAGTGTGATAATTAACATTTGATGAACGAAAGAAAGAAAAAATTTACAAAGTAAAGTACATTTATATTTATACAGTAATAATAGTCAACATAGTGAAATGATACATAAATGATACATAGTAAACAGAACTTAAAGCCCCATTCAGTTAAGAAAAATTTTATACTAAATAAGACTGAAATTTGATTTTTGTGTTCCACACAAGGAATAGGTCTACCAAGAAATATATAGTAGGCGCCGGAAACAGCCTATCCAACACTGCTAGGCTAGGCCTAGCCTTACCTCGATTTAGGATCTGTTATCAGACATAAAAACGGTCGACATAATATTTTGCGTTGCTTGACACTTGTGAAATTGATAATATTTCATTAGAATTATTTCAAATGTTAAAAACATGATTTTGACCGAGAGTTTGACAATTAAACAAAACACATGTCAGCGGATGCGATCTACAACCTCTGAGTTTGCCTAGTAATGAAGAAGTCCTTGAGAAAATGGTAATCTCCTTTCTCATTCAGCATTGCATGCATTTTTTCTTTAAAAAAATCTATTTTTAGTGAAATTTTGCCAGGAATGGGGCTTTAAATAAAATAAATAATAATGACCATCATTTGGATCAAGATTAGGTAAAACTTGTCTCACCCTGCTAACTCCATATTGATACAAAAAAAACAAAAAAACAAACAAATAAAACATGTATATAAAAAAAGATAATTGATGCCAGGCATGGCACGCCTATGTAAGGGGTGCGAAACCATGTGACATATGCTGCTGCGTGTGCATTAACACATTTTTGTGATTTTGTCCACGAGAGACAGGTGGACTCGGCTAAAATACTCAAGGTTCAACGGGATATATATAACATTTTTAGGTAAATTTTATCAGAATTATGTTCAAGTCTTCTTCAACTTTTCCATTGTTGAACAGGGCCGGGTTGCATGTATGTGCTGCTGCCGGCATCTGGAAAACTGGTTTTACAATGAGATATACAAATATTTAGGAAAATGTATGCTCCTACAAGTGCTGCAATAAAATGTAACATTGTTCCTTGCATCAATAAATAATATGCTTATCTGGTTGGCCTCACATAAATGCATAGCTGATTGATCAATCAATAGTGTTTGCTAGAGATCCTTCATTTTTGATATTTTTAGCCTAAGAAAAACCTAAGCTCAAGGATTTAATCAACGCAGTATTAAAGTATAAAGGTTATATGCTATATAAATTCATGAAATATACGTATAAATTATATTAATCAATGAAATAAATCATAATTTGTAACAAACAAAACACGTACCTCCTCGACATCCGATAGTGGACCGTCATGCATTGTAATATTCCCATCATGCATCATATCGTTCCCGTCATTCAATAACAATAAATAATACGAAACATGGCCGCGTACATGTGAGACGCTGGAAACACCAGCAATGAGTTGTGGTGCTTGGTTTCTGTATAATAGGCATTGTTTTATCAATCAGATTCTTCGATATGTTATATTTTACTGATTCCATTAAATTTATAGTATATTTATTACAAATATTATGTGTAGCTCAAAACGCACCGAATACTTCAGCAGGAAACGACGAAGCTGTAAAAAGAGGTGCTGAGGTACCAACCACAACAACATCACCGCCGGGTCACCTGAAGCCGCTCGGCTCGCATCGGCCTCCGGAGCCAGATGGCATCGACACAGTCAATGCCATTCCATATCCGAGGGAATTTTATGAAGAATACGTAAATAAAGGAAAGCCTCTACTGATGCGTGGAGCGGCTAGCTTTATGCCTGCATTTCAGCTATGGAATGATGAATTTTTAAAGTAAGTTTAGGCCTACATAGGCGAAGGAAGAGTATGCTGCTTGCAAGCAAGAGTAAAAACACCTTCACAGTTCACACCAACAGACAAACACATACTAGTATTTAACTCCCTGCTATGGAGTAGGTTAAATATTCTGCATTTTACTTTATAGGCCTCACTAGTCCTATGATATTTGGCCACAAGTAGGGGGGGGGGGGTCTATCTATTTCATTATTTATAAATAAGATAATGAGTGTATGTATTTAAATAATATTATAAATAAAAAGGTATTCTAATTGGGGGAGACAATGAAAATATGGATAAATTAAAATTGAGGCAGCATGCATACGCTTACTACAGTGCAAAAATATGTATATGAAGGGCCTAGACGTACACAGTCAAGGACAAGGAAAATAAATATTGTAACCCACATTTTTCAAATCTTCAGTGGACATTTCTACAACGGACATTATCTTTTTTAATCAAACATTGATTGCAACTGGAGAACGTATGAAGACAGTTCTATATACTGATCCATTTTGAGCACCAGAATAAAAAATAAATTGTCAAAATAGAAATTTGAATGAAATTTAATGAGACAATTGTTTCCCTTTTTGTTTTGTTTTTAGAGAGAAATACGGTCATTTAACAGTAGAAGTCGAGGAGGGCAAGAAAGAGAACCGGTCATTGGGATTGTGGGAAATGACGCTGAGGGAATACATTGATCAGTACAATAATAAAGATATCTACTTAGTGGAGAGTATTAAACCTGCTATGAGGGGTACAACATCATTTCATTTTTCTTTATTCAGCTGTATGTCACTGTGATTACCCTTTATTAAATCAGACTAAAACCCTATTCAGACTCTGCTCTATTATCTGGTAGTAATTCCAAACTGATTATTTATTTATTTATTTATTTATTTATTCAAGACTCAACAGTGTATCAAAAACACCAATAACAGAGTCGCCATAAAAATATACAATATCATTCATAAAAATATATAAATTACTCCCGATTGCATCAACAAGCGCATTCAGACCAACACAAACAAACTTTAACTTCTAGGTCCTAGGCCTCTGGTGGCTAGGCCTATGTTGACTGACCTCAGACAAACAGTGCGATCGGATTCTGTGGTGATTGGGAGTAATAAAGATTGTAGCACCATATGGCAGTGGGTAACAATTGCAATCGATTACTTATCGATTTCTATTAGTGAGCTTTCACACACGATTTTACTTTGCAGTTGGGTGCGATTGGGTGTCGCAATTGCTACAACTGATCACAATGCGATGCTAGTCTGAATGGGGTATAAAGTACAAAATAATATATTGTATGTAGATTGTAAAAATATTCGAAAATAAGTCATGCAATAAATATTTGATATTTCAATATCATTTTCAATGTTTAAAATATATATTTTATGTTGATGTTGATGATGATCATAACCAATGATGACCATAATTTAAAAAAAAAAAGATTTGCCACAAGCACAGGGAAATTATGTAGATCAGTCAATCATAGTTTTTGATTTTACGCCCTACAGTATATACTTAATTGAAAATTATGACAGTTTAGGGGTTTCAAAGGCTTATTTAATCAATTATTTAATCAGAGTCTACTAATATATGGAAAATACCTATAATTCTTTCTTCTCCCCAACAAATTTTGGTTCCCCTGCCCCACGCTGGCGCCACTGAATTAGAATAATAAAGTTGAAAGTTATAAATGTTAATATGGGACCACAGAAAAGTGGTCTTTAATTGGAGGTGGTCTTTAATAGGAGGGGTCTTTAATTAGAGGCAGACCTGTATTAATATATTTATATATATTTTTGCAGAGGACTTTTACCTGTTGAAGTGCATATTGTGCGGAGGCTTTGTTGATAACCTTCAAGATGCTGTCTTATGGTTCAGTAGTGGAGGAACTAAATCTGTTTTACACTATGATGAAGTCGACAATATCAACTGCATCATGGATGGGAAGAAGGAATTCTTTATGGTAGACCGGGTATGATGGCCAATCATTTTCAGGTTTAAGCGGGGCGCGTACAATTCTTTATTTGGAGCTTACTGTAAAGAATATATAGAATATGAATGTTTATAAAACTGAGCACTGTAGGATTTACTAATTTTAAGTTCATCAGGCGAGACTTTTTTATACCTTGATTCTCGAAGATCGTCAGAGGAGGGCGGAAAAGAATGAAAATATAATTTTGTTTTTTTTATTTAGAATGATTTTGCCAAAACCGTCCAGGCGGAGGAGAAAATAAAAATTAAATTTTATTAATGAATTAAACCGTGTAGTAAGGAGATTGATAAAATTTAAATTTACATAATTAAAAAAGAAATATATATATATATATATATATATATATCTCATTTTTGGGCGGATAATATAAAATTTAATATTTTTATGAAATTTCCATTTTTTCATGGCAGAGGGTGCACTAACTGGCCAAAAATGAAATTTTATTTTTATTCAAAATCACCATTTTTGGCGGTAGGAGGATTTGCAAAACAAGATATAACCAGATTGGTTGTGGTCTGTTATAACCAGATTGGTTATTGTAGTCTGAATAACCAGATTGGTTGTTGTGTTCTGTTTTAACCAGATTGGTTGTGGTCTGTTGGTAAAGTGCTTGCTTTTCAATGTCAAGGACCAGGGTTCAATTCCCATGAAGGGAAAACTTATCATCCAACTGTAAATATTGTAATTTGCTATTAATAAGAATGTAACATGATAAGATTGTTTCATGATAATAAAAGAAAAACCACTTTAAAGGCTATGATGAAGAAAAGATAACATGACTTGATATCACTTAGTGTCAATAGTGTTGATCAATGCATGATGAAGAATTTGAACAATCTTCTCTCTGAGCCTGCTTTTTATTTTTTTAGTAAATTTCTTCAATTTTGTCCTTTATTATATCTGAAACATGCAAATTGTTATTAATTAGGGGTTTTTTCAAATATTTAAATTTGTTATTGTCCAGCAGAAATTCTGAGCAATATATAATTCATTGCCAATAAAATATTAAAATAAGGTATACTGTAAATTTTTACCATGCTTAAATTTTGATGCAAGCCTTAGTCCAAGTTGGTGGTGCCTTCAGAAATAGGGAGTCGTACCCAAAAAGGCCGCTTAGGCCTTCCAGTAGGAGTTCCCGAAGAAACACCCCCCCCCCCTTAGTGGGGTCAAGGAGCGCCACATGGTTCATGCAATTAGTGCCTTGAAGATCATGTGTTTAATCCTATTTCATGCTATTTGCATACCGGTACTGAATAATATATACAAATCTAATGTTTTTAACATCTCCAGAAAAACCATGCTTTTATCGATATTGATGCCCCTGAAGGGAGTTACTCTGAAGTAGACGTTGAGAAGGCAGACTTGCTCAAGTACCCGGGCTTAGGAGAAGTGCCATGGTTTAATGTCACAATGGAAGCAGGAGATTGTTTTTACATTCCTTACAAGTAAGTGACAGTTATCCAAAATAAACATTTATTTATTTTATTTCAACAATATTTTGTAAAGCTGGACCCTTAGTACGTACAATTAAAGACAATGTACATATACAAATTAAAGTAGATCTTTAACATAAGCAAGCTAATTAAATAAAAACAGAAAAATGAAAAGAAAATCTGAAAATATTTTTTTTTTTAATGATTTGAGGAAAACATTAAAAATAAAAAAAATTAACATAATGAAAAAAAAAACTAAAATTTACACATTTAACAGAAAAATAATAAATTAATCAAGAGAATTAAAGAGAAGATAATTAATTGAACTATCATAAATAATGATAATAATAATATCTTTAAATAAACAGATTAATAAAAGATAAATAATTTACTTTACAAAGAAAAAAAAACAGCAAAATGAAGATTTAAAAGTATTGCAACAAAAATAAATGGCCACAGGGAAAATTACACAAGATTGGATGAAAGATAACTCAAAGGGTTAGATTTGAAAGAAGAGAAAGCAGAACAAACAATTAGTGGAAGAGAGTTGTAGATGTAAGGAGCATTGTAGCTAAATGAAGTTTTAAAGATTTTTAGATTAGGCTTAGGAATAAGATCACCAACAGGAAAATGCAAAGGTTTTGAACTTGAATGATTCAATCAAACTCTGATTCAGATCTTGCTATTACAAAACATTTTTTTTAAACAATGGCTTACATAACATACAACAAAAAATTAAACAAGAAGTATTTAGAGCACATGGTGATAAATCAAATAATATATAGTTGGACTAACGATTTTTTTATGTTCCATCCATGTTTCACTTAAAATCGTTTTACATTTACTGTACACTATCAAAAAGATTAGTTATCTCATATTGATATAAAATCATACATGTTTTATTTTTGCCTTTTCCTTCAGATGGTTCCATCAAGTTAAGTCTTCAGGACGAAATTTAGCAGTGAATGTGTGGTTTAATCATGTGTGGCGTTTCAATCACACAGATTGTGATATTAAGCAGCCTAGGGTGCATGCACCCCTTAGCCTCTTCAAATTTGTAGACACTAAGGAAGAAATAAGGTAACAGTACTATTAAATTGAAGTGGTACAAAAAAAATGTGTTTGTATTTTTCTTTAATATATTTTTACTGCAAACAGACACCCAGAATACTTGTATGTTACCAAATATGAAAACAGCATTTTAACAGCCAAATGGCATGGAGTGGGCAGTGATACTCAAGAATTAGTCAACATTTTTGATCATGGGTTCTTTGTGATTTGAAAGTTAATGTTACAACAATGATTGCCTTCTTGCCAGTAATTTTTCATTACTACCTGAAAGGTGAAAGCTCTAAAATAAGCAACAGGCATGGGCGTCGATTGGTGGGTGACAGAGGGGACACGTCTCCCACATTTCAATGTTGGAGAACATCATATAATTTGTTAATTTGTCCCTACCCCAACTTTTCACGTATCTTCTTTTTAAAACCCCACTTTTCAAAGCGAGTGGGAAAAAAACAACAATTACGGCTGACTGATGAATTTGTCCGTTCACTTGTTCTCTGTTCCCTGTTTGGTGTGTATTTCTGGACCAAAACCAAGTAAAAAACACCACTTTCATCCACGGGTCGACGCCTTTGGCAACAGGGATGACTTATAAAGGAAAAGTGGGATTTTAAGATGAAAAGCTAGTGAAATATTTAACATAAGAATTGGCTGCTGGTACCATTTGCAATAATCTTCTTTCTTGGTGTATCAGATTGATATTTTTACTACACTGCATGTGAACAATCTTTTAGGCCGTTGTACATTGACAATGACTATGGTGTTATATTGTATTGTTTCATTTAAAAATATAAACAAATCTCTTGTGCAGACACAGTGTGTGCTAAAATGAAATATAATAATTTAACTCATGCCATTTCCCAAATTTGATCAAGATTAATTTGTTTTATTTTATAGGCAACATATTATGTCTTTAATGGATGACCTCAATGTGCAATATCTGAGTGTAACAGATTACAATGACCTTGCCCTGGCATTGGACCTAGATGAACAAGACATAGAATTGGTAAGGGAGTTTGTGGTCTATTTTACATAGTTCAGTTTTAATTTTCAGTCTAAAGGGCCACATTTTGTAGAGTATTTTAGCTCAGTCGTCTAAAATGGTAGTAGGCAGTGTGTGTGTGTGTGTGCTGAACAGTGGAGGTCTTTTCAGCTCTTTGGTCTGGAGAGCTAAAATGCAAGCCATGGTGCCCTGTGTAATACGGCTGGTGTGCATATTAAAGAATACACTACACACTTTTGAGATGAGCAGGGTATTGGTACCCTTTGTACTACCCAATTCTCCACCAGAATGAGAGAGCAGCTTAGCTCAAGTCGGCTAATCTGGTGGTAGCCAATGTGTGTGCACTGAACCGTGGAGATCTCTAGGTCCCCGGTTCAATTCCCATCGCTGCCTCTCCTTGTGTTTCAGCTAGAGGGCTGAAATACAAGTTACAATAGCGCACCGTTTTCGGATGAGATGTTTAAGCCGTTGGTCCCATGTGCATTTATGGCCCATGTGCACGTTAAAGAACGCAGTACACTCTTCGGAAAAGAGTAGGGGATTGTCTCCCGGTGTACTGTCCAATCACCACCAGAAGGACCCCACTGGAAATGAGTCTTCTTCTAGACTTTTGTGGGCTATCCTTGGTGTTTACACCGAATAAATCCAATCCAAGAATGTCCCCATTGGAAATAAGGAACCACTTTCTGAAGATTGTCGGATATCGGCCTGAAGTGAGCAAGGAGATGCAGCTGAAGTGGCCTCATGTGGAGGTGAAAAGTACCTGAGGATCTGTAACCATAGAAACACTGTTGACGTCGCCGCAGCCCACTGGGCCTTTACGGTGTGCTGGTGCGAGGCATGCACCCTCAATGCTATCAAATCTATTTGTGCGCCAAGTAATACGGTGATATGCATAGGCAAGATTTTGCACGGTTTACTATTAAGCCCGCTTCTGCGGAACGTAGTAGAATGCTGTCTGTGTTGGAAAATATTGCAGGAAAGGAATGTTTTGCCCTCTAGTGGATGCATAAATAATATTGTTTCTACACTTTTCACATCGACCATTAAATTTTCTAGTAATTTGAGGATTTTTATTATTAATAAATCGGTGTTTTGAACTTAATTATTTCATTTGAAAGAGGTACTGTATTCCAAATTTATTTTAATTGACAGACACATATCTTTATAACAAATGTTGATTTTCTCTGTCTGTTGTAGGTTTTTTCTTATATAGATGCAAATCTCGATAGTAACATCACAGTGGATGAGGTGTTGAACGTTAATATTGCAAAGATGATTGCCTTCTTGCCAGAAATCTTTCAGGACTACCAAACTGAAGATGAAAGCTCAAAAATAAGCACCAGGGATGAATTGTGAGTAGAAAGGGAGGTTGTCTTTTTCAAGGTGAGACCCAGTGAGGTGGGAGCAAAAGTGAAAAGAAACTTTTTATTGTGCATGAGTGGTACCTATCTGCATAAGAATCATTTCTTGTTTTATGAAATTTAAATCGCAACTCTAAAGAAGAGTTTTGAACGCTTAATTTAAACAGGTGAATTTTAAAGTTTTACCTGTATGTAAATTGCAAACTTGATGTATATACTTTAAATTATGTCATTCTTCATGTATTAGCCCTTGCAATGAAAATATAGGCTATTTGGCAATTTCATGCCTCAATAATTTGCATTCCCTTAAGTGCCTTCACGATTATGCATAGATAGTTATTTTTAAGTTTTTAAAAGTAGATTTTATTGAATATACACATTTTTAGATCATGTACTTCAAGGATTAAGGACATAACATTTCTTTTGAAACATACTTTGTAGTAAACTCAGTGCTTGTTCTGTGTGGACTAACTTTAAAGAAATAATGCCAGGTTTTGATGTAATAAACTTTAGGGAAAATCAATTTCTTTGTATATTTTGAAATAAACTCTTACCAATTTTTGTAGCAAAATGTATGTAAATAAAAAAAAAAAGCCTTCACAGTTTCAATATGTGTTTTATATGAACAATTGATGGTTTAGTTAAATCTTTTAATATTTTAGTACCAAAAGGTACTGTGTATCTAAAAACCTTACAAAAGTGAAGAAACAAAGAAGGTGCTTTTCTTTCATACTTGTTTGCTTTTTTTTTTATTCAAGATTTATATTTAAGCTCACAATTATACAAATAATTAAATATTTATAATGCGCCAGTTTCACTTTGTTGTAATAGTGCTGCATGTGTTTCTATCGTCAGAAGAATTTTCATTTAGTGGTCTTAAGGTTTATGTACCGAGTTCCAGTCTTACAATGGCTTAGGTTCGATTTATCCACAATACAGTACTTGTTTATCAATCTTTACAAACACAAGAGTTGAAATCTTTTATGGACCAACTGCAAGTATTAAAAATGGAAATAACAGAATATTTAGTAGTGGTTTTTTTTGTGTAACCTGCCAATTCTATGTTTTGTTTTTTTCTGAGACCATGCATATTATGTGTAAGTTCATATTTCTCTACTTTAACTCTTTAATGAAGTAGCAAATCTATTGTCTTTAACATACCAGTTACTCTTGTACAGTAATATTATTTACAATCATATTTCAAAGTTAATATGTTGTAGTGTAATGACACTAAAATTGGTCCAGGTCTGATGGGAGACAATATGTATGTGTAAATTAAAAATATAAATCATCTTAGAATGTGACTATTAGAGCTCCTCAACAACATAAAAAGAAAACATTTGTATTAAACATCCATTTTACATATCGAACACAGAAACATTTCTCTTATAACATTTAACCTTTATATAATATATGTACTTTATAATTTTTTAATTAAATTTCTTTATCTAGAATTACAATATGTAATAAAAATGAACAACAATTAATTCAATGTAAGTATTGAAGAAGCATACACAGATTATGTACTGAATACTATTTTATGTACTGTGAATCAGAATTTTCATGATATTTAGCAGCCAATCATAAATGCTCATTTAACTAGCCCACCAAGGCTAGAGTTGAAAACAACATTGGTAGACACAGTTTTGTATCTGGTCAAGCATGTACTCAAGCAAACTGTGGCACGAAAATACCTGCTCAGCAAATTGCTTTCTTGTGCGACTGGCTTATATAACATTTGTACATACAGTATCTTCAAGTGAATAAATCCCTGAAAAAAAAACCCATGCACAAGAGCCTGGATTAATAAAAAAAAAATACCTACCACCTGTATTTATTACTCAGAATTTTAAATAACAGAACTTTGTTGTTTACTAGAACTAAGTTAAGAGTAAATGCAAAAATCATAAAGATAAACCATCAAATGTCAAAAGTATCTAATAAAAACAAAGAACACACTTGCATCATGTTCTGTTATCAGTTTGTTTCAGTATCTAGAATAAATCATGAGAAGCTAGGAAAGACAAATACTATTTTTCTGTTTATTTGTTTTAGTTAAACTAAAAAATAATGCAAATTGAAATAATTAAACACTTCGAAAATGTTTCTGGGTTTTCTATTACATTTATGATGCCAATCGCCATCTTTTATCTTGGTAAATATATTAATCTTTATTTACAAGGTATACTGGTATAGCTTTGAGTGAGCTGGAAGGAACCAGTTCCTTTGGGTGATTTCAGCATCCCAGTTAAGGGCCCTTTGTGTACCCTAAAGCAAAGGTTACTTTCATTATGCACATTGGACCAGGCCTAGTACACATAAGACCTAGCTCTCACTCTGTCATACGACCGTCAGCCTGTGAGCGCAGTCTAAATGGATTGTCGTTAAAAACAATTTGTTGTGTGCTCATCTTTGCGTCACGATGTCTACAGAATTGTGTCGGCCAACGATCGTCGAGCGCAGTAAGTACCCGGCCCAATTTCTCTTCGTTAGTACGGTAGTTTTGATTTTAAAACTGAATATTATTTCACTGTGTTTCTGTCTTGGACGTAGAGGATTCTTCGGTTATTGGTTCCTCCTTATGAACACTGCCTTCCTTAGGCTCAGTTTGAATAGGTTTAGGCTCTATAGAGGATATTGATACTGCTTGTAGTTCTTCACTTATTTCTTTTAAAAGAGAATTAGAATTTGCAATTCCCCTTCCTTGGTGCCCAGGCAGGTCATAATCTGGATAGGAACTCTCCGTTGGATGTTTATAGTCCCGGCTTTGCCAGATTTTCGAGACAAGTGGTGTTCCAAGGTCCAACATTCTCATCCATCTGTGAAGTTCCTTTTCATGTAACCACTCAATAAAAAGAACCGGTTGCAATTTGCCCTGAAGAAAATGGAATAAACCATTGAGAACATCAAATAAGATGAACAGAATAGTATTGAGTAATGTAGCTAGGCTAAGCAGGATGGTCACTCACCTTTAGCCTCTGCAACCCGGACACTGTAGTCTTTAAAACCTTGCCTTCATACCCAGGCTGTTGTGAAAATACAACACAAACAGATTATATAAATAGAATATTTGATGCCATCATTTATTTCTACAAACATATATATTTTAAACTGTCAAGAGAAATCAAATAGGCATATGTATTTTTGCCCAAACCAACATGTTTACATGAACTGAACTTGTTTACACATTCTTACCTCATAATCTTTTGTAACTTTCACATCCAATTCCTGGAACGAAAGTGAAATAATAACATCAAAAAACAAGAACATCACAACAGACTTCTGGGGCCGGATTTATCAAACTAGAAATCAGCTTAAAATCGTCTCAAGTCCAATTTATCAATATTGCTTAGAGAAATCAAGAGATTAGCCTAAAAATTGCTTAAAATTAAAAAGTCGATTGTACGCATGCGCAATCTAAGACGATTTTTAAGCTAAGATTTTGCTAAGATGGTTTGAAAAATCAGCTTAAAATATTTGACTTAAAACATTTGCAAAGCTGAGATTGAAAAATCTTGGGCCTGTACATTTACTCCAACCCGGTCATGATATTGTTTAAATAAAAGTGCATATTTTCCAATATATATAGCATTTTATTAATATAAGATACACATTTTGTGAGATGAATAAAAAATGAAAAATACACCTGTGTTTGGATTACCTATTTGTATAATTAAATAAGTTATTTGCTTTCCTATTGAAAGGTCATCATCATGACCTCTTTCAGCCATTATTCACTATAGAAATTTTATCATTACTTTGTAAATAAGCAGAGGGGTGAAGTTAAGAGTAATATGCAGAGGGATGTGTGTCAATAAAAGGAAGAGCATACCGGTGGAAAGTGCTGCAATTGTACGTTACAGCGCTGGTCTAAGTCGTTGATTATAACAACCAAAATGTTCATTATATTAGAAGTTTTTATTCGGATGTCTATATGCACAAAATAGTCAAAGCCAGAGCCGATGGGCCTTATCAGAGGGCCTTCGAAATCGATCTCTGCAAATGGAAATAACAGAAATTGGCAAAAAATCAAAACATCAATATGAATTCTCTTTTTTTTAAATAAACATTTTAATTTATATTCAATTCAAATACTTCATATATCTAACTTATATTTTTCTACTTTTACATCATATTTATATCTAGTTTATTTATTCAATTAAATTATATTACTGTAATAAAAAATGACAGATAATGGTTTGTGTTTCATGCTAATACTGTAATATTAATATAGATAGATGATAATTATTAATCTATTCATTTTATAGTGTATTACTGGCTCGGGGAGAGCTCCCCCCACCCCTTCGAGGAGAAAACCACAACTCATTGGGGAGAAAACCACAACTCCTCGGGAAGAAAACCAATGTATATGTATTTTCTACATATTAGTAGACACCAAAATCAATTAAATAAGCTCTTGAAACCCCTAAATTGTTTTCAGGGGCTTCGCCTCCACCCCCCCCCCCCCCCGAATCTCCATCCCTGTTCCCCCTTCTATTCCAAATTCCTGGATCCGCCTCTGTATGACATCCAATGCATGAAGAGAGGTTTAAAATTGGAGTAAAATTCAAACTATTCCAAACTTTACCATGAGCTTCTTCCCACTGCATTACCCTCTTGTTGAATAACTTTGTTTGTCCTTGGCTGTTGACTGGGTCAAGAAGCCCACGATCCTCCACAAGATCTGAGTATATGGTTGGGTACTGCTTTCCTCTTGAGGTAGTATCATTTTGTACACCTGTCAAATATTCAATAACATTCATGTGTGACCTCTGCATATATTTTATATCATTTAAGATGTACTGTAATTTTTTTTTGTGGTTGGCTCAACAGAGATGGTACATCTTATTGCAAGTGCACAATACTTATAAAATAATTAAGGTGACCAAGTGTTGCATATTCAAAAGATTTGCTTATTAAAGAGTGCTAAAATGGTATCAAATTTTATAGATAGGCACATCTGAAACATCAATGCAGGCTTGGGGTAATCATAATTTGTAATTGTAATCAATTGCAATCATTACACTTTTTAAGGTAATAGGGTGTAATGTAATTTTATTTCAAATAATGTAATTATAATCATGGCAATAAAAATGTAATTTGTAAAAAAAACTGTTTTTGTTTATCAAAATCTCAAAGTGACATCCACTGGATGGCAGGTTATTGGAGTGCTATGGTGTAATATAACAAACTTTTCTTTCTCTAACAAAAAAGGTTAGGGAATCGTACTTGCTTAATATGACCAACTATTTTAGTTAGGGTTTGTTGATTTATACAGTATTATGTTTTCGTATTTCAGGTCAATATTTGTTTACTTTTATTCAAATGAGCTATGACTTAACAGAAAGAAATTATATTCCTTTACTTTATTATTTATTACTGAGTATCTACTCCATAAAACTTTTCAATAGGTCTAATATGAAAATATAATTTTTTTATGTGATTTTGTCCGAACATTAAAATGGAATTGTAATTGAGAAAATGAAATTGTAATGGGGAAAATGGTGTAATTGGAAAAATAGAGAAAATTGTAATTGATTACATTTTCACTGTAATTGACCAATATGGTATGTATTTATTACCAATGCCATGTAAAACAATAGAATACACCCCCCTCCAAATGAAAAATTATGGATCCGCCCCTGAATTTGGTGAAAAATTGGTCATATGATAGTTTCTCAATGGTGCTTAAACCAGAACAGTGCTTATTTGAGAGAGGAAGCTATTAAATAATTTACTGTAATTTTACGTCATTGTTTATGCACATTTTTCTTCACTACCTTTTTTGACTTTTTCAAGAACACGTTCAATCCGTTCTCGTCTATTAATATTTAGCAGTAGGTGTTTAGCAAAGACACTGTAGTCCTCCCCGGGTGCTTCAAAGGCTTCACAATTTGCAGCTCTAGAAAGTTATTAGTGAAAAAAATTACAAACAATAAAAGGATTATTCTGATTTAAAAAATTTGTTTAAAGTCAACCAAAATGTTAATTTACTTTCAAAATAAAAGGATTGGCAGTCAAATTTGACTCATTCTGCTTATTTTTTTTTTTTTAGCTCCAATGGAAAGCTCTAAAAATATCCTGCTGAGTGACTGTGCTTTTTTTCATCTTTTAGATAAAAAAATAACAGACTCCTCTGGGAAATGAACCAGGGAACTCTCAAACCCTAACCTACCGTACATTCATGCCTGTAGACCAACGAGCCATAGTTACTGTGTCTCACACCCTAAGCCACATTCATGCCTCTAGACCAACGAGGCTGAGTTTCTATGTAATTTTGAAGGAGCTCTAGGAATACTCGGTTGACTGATTGTTTGATTGATTATATTTATATCTTTTTTGTACGGGCGGTCGTTAGGGCCAACACACTTTACTGCCTCTATTATACTGCCCTCATCAAAGCTTTCAAGATTACTAGAACTTGTTATTGTTTAGTTCTCAGTTTCTTTGGTTTTTTTTTTAATTGTTTAATTCTTATTGAAACTTTCTGTATTGTAGTTTGTAGCATTTCAATGTATTTTATGCCACTTTTAATTCCACTTTTAATTGTGAACATAGTGATACATGAGATTGTTAGCATAAACTTACAAAAATGCCATGTTTTAAGTAATTTGTATCTCACTCCTCTAGCTTAAACAATAGAAGAACCAGAAACATAAAGATCTCTGTCTACAGTATACATCACTACTCAGCTATGATGTTCTCTTGTGCAGCCACAACCTACCCCGCCC